TTAGCCGTTGAATTCATTGTCAGAGATGAAAGCGAGCGAGAGCATCGTCATTTAACAACGTAATACAAAATAACATAGAAACAAGTAAAGCTTTAATAAAGAAATAAATTATTAATGGTTTTATAGATGGAATGTTTTTTTAAATCATGATGAATTTGAGGCTTAAATACAATTTAAGTAATTTGCAACTGCTTTAGTAAAGAATTTAATAAGCAGTAAAATGATTATCTGTGAAAAGTGCTGTTCTTAAAAATGAGTCTGCAGTGCTGAAGGTCACATGTCACTGTTTATTCAAGACAGCTTCTGTAATCTGCCAGAGGATGAAATGCTGCCCATAGCAGCAGCTTTACTCCAACAGATAGAATAAAAAAAGAGTGAAAAATTTGCTTTATAAATCCACAATCTTCAGCTCAGCATTTAGACTGCTAAACACATCAGTGTCCACGTCATAAAAACAAAGATCTGCACTTCCCTCCTATTTCTCAGATAAATCCAAACATTAAAAAAAAAAAACCGTCGTGCATCAGTAACTGACAAGACGAGAAAGCATGAAGTGTGGTTTGAAGCTGTTTAGAGCAACGAGCGTGCAGCTCAGAGTCCAGGTCGGAGGTCAAGCGAATGCTCCAGTGAACTGCGAGTTGACAAAAATGCCCCTAAAGGTGCAGTGACCTCGGGGTGAAACCTCAGCCTCGGCTGACCTGGATGTCTGTGTACACAAACAGCTCTGTCAGTAACACTAGAGTGGCCTCGTGGTAACACAAAGCCGAGTGCTGAGTGGGGGGAAAAAAGGCTAGAATTAAGTCGGTCAGGAAAACAGCGACAACCAGCACAAGACTGAAAAGTAAAAGTAATACATAAAATTACTGCAGAAACATTTTTACCCACAATAAAAACGCATGTTGTGTTTTTTGTGCCACGGAACCTTCTTTACATGTATTAATCAGTGCATAATGAGATGAATAAGAATTTTAAGAAACATAAATATGTCACAAACCACAGGAAGAAACTCTGAATAAATCAGATTCTTGTGCACATGCTAGTTTGGCAGTGTTTGTCTGTTGATTGTTTGCTCAAGTGTGAAATATCTTCACAAAGTGGGTCCAGAAATTTATGTTCCCCTCAAAATGAATCCCACCGACTTTGGTCATCCGGACTTATCAGTGGGTCAAACTACTTTAATATTTCAACACTTCAGTTCATACTGGGATACTGCCAAAACTGACAAACTCCCGCCACTATGCAAACAAAATACGTGCATGATTTTCATGTAATGCAGCAGGCTAGCACTCTGCCATTAGCATGTTACCAAGCTATCTGTGTGCAACATGCAGATACTGTCATGAAATGAAAAATACTTTATTTATCCCAGAAGGGAAATTCAATATTGCAAAAGCTCACTTTTTAAAAAAAAAAAAATCAATATAACATATATTTTATACAACAATAATAATAATCATTAAGTCAGTCAATTGTCAGTCAATCAGATTTGTTCGTCATGCCTGTTAGCATAACATTGTAACTCCATGTTGATTTGTCAGACACTTCCATAGCTTTGAATCACTTTGCAGTGATCCACAGAGGTTTAAAGCAACAACTGGGCCTTGAGTTTCTCCCCCTTTCATTTAATTTTTGCCAACTATAGAGCAAGTACTATACCGTGCTTGTTTTGTTTTTATTTGCATCTTCCACTGGTATGCTACCATGCTAAATGCTAACATGTTGATAAATGTATCTATGGGAACATTGGTGGATTAGTTTGTTTGATTCAAGGGTATTGTGCATGTTTTTTAGGATGTGAACAAAAAGTGGGAAGTTGCATTGTTTGGGGGCCTGGAGATGGATGGGTAGCAGGAAGTTGGACCGAAAAAAAAAAAAAAAAGAAATAGCCCAGAGCAGCTCGTTAAGGTGGAGGGGAAAAAACAAATGAACTAGAACTTTCAGTACTTTTTGGGGAACTTGTGAACTGTGTGAACTTCAAAATTCATGATTGTGAAATATTAGAACATGAACTAGCTCTTGTGAAGAAACAACTGAGTCCTCAAACACACAGGCCACTGAAATCCAGCGAAGTCACTTCCTCATGATGGAAAGAAATCAGTAAAAATCGTTGTTGGAGTGGAGTTAGACACAGGCGAATACAAAAACAAATCAGAAAAAGACCTCTTTTAGAAGTCAGAACAAAATTCTCATGTTTACATTTAATTTTATATTTAAAACAGGCAAAAAGCACCTGTCACATTTACAACAGGGATCCGGTGACATTAATAAATGACATCATATCTTCTTGTCGGCACCTTTCTCCATGGAAACAGTCCAAATATTTGACAACCGACACACTTGTGCGTCCTTAATTGTTCATCTGATATAACTCTAGTAGAATGAAATGAAATGAAAAATGAAATGAAAAATACTTTATTTATCCCAGAAGGGAAATTCAATATTGTAAAAGATCACTTTAAAAAAAAAAAATCAATATATCATATATTTTATACAACTATAATAATAATCATTCAGTCAGTCAATTGTCAGTCAGTCTGATTTGTTCTTCAAGGTGATGGCTGTTGGCAGGAATAAATTTCTGTATCTCTCCGTTCTACAGCGAAAGTAATTGTCCATCTATATAACTTGTTGCGGCGTCCAAACAAACCTTTTCGCCGCTGAGAGTTTGAGGTTGGGTCCTCAGGTTCACAGATTTGTGACGCGCTTGGAGGCTATAATAACAGATACGCTGAGATCCAAATATGCTTTTTGTGTATTTATTGGGACAAAAGAGCACAGAGCTATCACAGCGCAAAAGATGGATGAATGGAAAAAATGAAAACCAGCGGAATAAACAGATAAAAAGGTGATTAATGAATGAATGGGTAGCGGTCAACAAACATTGTGGCTACTAACCAACCCTGACTCTCTCCTCCTTCCCTCTGTGACACAGGTGAGTGCACCCCTTTATACACACACATACACTTCCGCATGTGCACACGCCCACTCCCACCTGAACCACTGCCTCTGCAACACACACACATTCAAGCACACTGTGCTCCTCATCTTCAAACTTGTATGTCTCCTACATAACTCTAATAGAATATTATAATATATAATATCATAGTTATTTCACATTCAGGCATTGAGCACAGACTATACTGAGAAAAATACTCGTTTTGATTTTTAAAAAATTGTCACATAAAAACCCAGTTTGCATTGAACGTCACAGTCCTTCTGGTTAAAGTTCATCTGATTACAGCTCCTATCAGGAGTCTGTATCGCAAATTACAGTTAATTAGTCTGGGTGAAGACACTGGTGATGACGTGTTGGAACCAAAGCATAGGACCATTTACCCATTACACAAATGTATGGACACTTTTATTTTTGTTGATAGTTTCTGGCTGTATATCATTATTTGAAGTGACAGGATTATTCTATTAACAGAAACTGAATCTGCAGCAATTTTTTTTAGTCATTTATGGTTTCATTAACTTTTTGGGGGACCTGAAATGTAAGACTCTTTAATATCTTTAAAGTCTTTGAAATCACCATTTTTAAGACCTTTCAAGATCTACAGATACCTTCAATGTCACTGAAAAATGATCATGGGTATCAAAGTACATGTGATGACATATTAAAATTGCCTCTATTGCTTTTTAATTAATTTTTGCAAGCTACATACTTCCTGTACTCAGTTATTCCTGTGATCTGATTGGTCAACTCGTGCTGTTGGCAGATCTGACATGATTTTACCTTCTCCATGTAGTCGTTTACCCTGCTACCCTGGAGACCGACCCGAGAAAACCAGGGTTAAGCTCCAGATAACCTAATAACATTGTTTTGTAATAATGTAGAGTTCAAAATTCATCACCTCAGATGAGAAAAAGTCTAAAACCTCAAGCCAGGATGCTGAGACTGCTGACAGAATAAAGCTTTGACCATTTTTCTTTCATCATCACATTCAAAAGTTTTGGCTCCAAACAAAGGCCGCAAGCGAAACACTTGAACAGCTCCCAAAGGTTTCCTCTAAAAATACCTGCTGGGCAGTTTGGTGCCGACAGACGATACAGAACGTATCATTTCAGCAAGACTGTCGATGGACATTTGCAAAGATTAGAAGATTAAATTAATAATTTAGTTCCATCTCTTTGTGCAATAACACTGTCTCCACTTAGCGTCCTTGGTCCTCCTGACTGCTACGACCTTCCTGAGTGCTACGGAGACCAGATTTCATCCTGAGAGTCTGAGTTGTCCAATTCGAAACCCCTCTCCCGTGACGCTCCAGCTTTGTCTCTGGAGCGTGAAGCAGCTCCGTTGATGTCGGTCAGCGGGACGTAGGAGTAATCCCGGCGCTCGGGGAAGTGGGAAGCCACCCTGCCGCGACACGCCTGTACGATGTGAACCAGCAGGCTGGCCGACAGGAGAGAAGCCAGGGTGAATGTGACGATGAGCCACATTCGCCTGAGGAAAAAGGAAGGTTGGATCAATTTCATGACTCTGCAGCTCAGTAAGAAGAACCAAAACCATGGAGGTCATGAGCATACATGGTCAAAACAATCTGCATCGCTCATGAGAAATCGAGCTGCAGTGACTTCACTCTGTCTACATATGTGCATGTAAACACAGCAACAGGCAGCGAATCATGACAAATAATTATTAACTTGCAGCATTCACTGAGTGCATGTGCAGGTTGTCCTACTTCCAACTCTGTCTTTACATGCTGGGTCTATTTTTACTACACTGACCTGCAAAACATCTCTTGTGAATGTAAATACAGTCGTGACTCGATAATCCGACCCGTAACAATCCTAAACCTTGCTATCCGACAGGTTTTTAGGAAAAACTAACAGAACCAGTGAGAAATGGCCTTAACATACAGACAGCCTTGGATTCCGACTCCGACATGACATTTTATGTCACAAATCAGGATAACGGCGTATTATCTGACTGAACAATCCCACAGATTGGCTACGTTCACACTGCAGGACTTGATGCTCAATTCAGATTTTTTTGTGAAATCCGATTTCTTTGCGAGTTCGTTCACATTTCCAATTAAATGCCACTTGTATGTGATCTGCTGTGTGAACTTCATACGACCCAAAAGTGTCCCGCATGCGCAGAAGAGGACACGACGACGTCACACGCAGCGAGCGTGCTCAGTGTTTATGGAAGTAAACACGGATGGAGGAAACAGAAGTGTGACCGCTATCCTAAACTAGCATCAGCAGCCAAGTACTGCCTGTGCGTTCCAGCCACTTCCACCCCGTCAGAGCGCTCCTCCGGGGTGGAAGTGTCCCCCGACCGTGCCGAATATTTGGACATTTATCATTAATTGGGCCTGAATATCCAGAGACCATAAAGTGCTATTCGGATCAGATCAACTAGTTATTATAACAACTATGAACAATAAATATTAACAACAAATGAGCCTTCCAGCATTAAGCCCTCCTTGTAGCTCAACCTCCGTCTTGACAATCCGACAGCCTTGATATCCGACATAAAAGAAGGTTCTACATTTAGTGTCGGACTATCGGGTCACGACTGTACATTCTGAAAGTCACTGACATACATTTACTTACTGTTTTCCCCTTTATGTACAAAAACAGCAGAGCTAATTGTCCTTGTGTGTTACTTAGTAGTAAGAGGAGGAACAAAAGAAGACAGAGAGACGTACTGTTTACCGTTGCTGATACGTGAATTGCGACAGCTTGAGTGCGACCACAACGAGAAGCAGCTCGATGCAGCGGATCTCATGATGACTACGAAGCTCCCCAAAGCAAAAAGGAACATGTCCATAACTCTTTGTTGTTAGGTACACGCTATCAGAACTAGTTTGTACAATGTGTTGACAGACCCTGTGTGTATACCTGATCTGAACAGCTACACTCCAAGACGGACAGAAAAGCTGCCTGTCATAGAGACGGAATACTATTAAAACATAAAACATGGGAACAAAGGTGTGCAATGGATGACCACCCTCATGGTTCAGATCGTATCACAGCTTTTGGAATTAGATCATTGTTTGGATCAGCAAAAAGCAAATAAATAAGAGAAAGTAAATACCTTGGCTGCCACTGTTAACTGTTTCGACATGCCCTGCTCATGTAAACACACAACCGCTTTGTTATCTCGTCACTGCGACTCTGCATCGAGATTTAGTGAATGATTCGCCGCTGAGGCAGAGGAATGCTATAGATTTGTTTATATGTCTGTGTGTTTCTCTGTTTCCCGTCTCTCTAGGCAGGATAAAACTACCAGGCCCACATTATGAGACAGGGCCTTTATGGAAGAATGCACTCTCCGGGGGTCCTCTGAAAAGTGACAGGGGTGTGATGGTTAAACAATTAATCTGTGGTTCACATATCAAATCAAATCAAAATCAAGTTTATTGTCATTTTGCTGTACATACAACAGCAGTACAGGCGAGATGTGAGAACGTTTCTCCAGGATCCAATAACTAAAAGTAATTAAATTGTGTGCATATCCGGATCAGCGGTATGTGGCAAACATTAACTACAGTCCCTTCTACCACCACAGTATGCGTGTTTTCAAACAGCATCCCCAGGAAGACATTCACAGTCTCTCGCTTGGGTGATCACACGGAAAGTGACAGAGACACTTCATCAAACCTACAAAGCGGCCCCACTGCTGCATGTGGTGGTTTCACAAAGGTGCCGATGATGGATGACACACGTGAACCCGATCAGATGTTTGTTTCCAAACACTAGCCAACTATCTGACGTAGCTTAGAAATGCCGGTGACAGACGTAAGTTTCAATTTTTATGTCAAATAAGGGTTAAAACCAATGTTTTTTTTGTTTTTTTTAAAGTCCTTTCCTACATCTGCGACCAGAGTGCCCATTCAAAAAGAGCTCTGCAGAAACCATAGCAACAGCTAACAATCCCTAACTTGCATGTGAAAGGTAAGGAGGCTAATGAATGCATCCCATCCTCAGAGTGTCAGCCTTGTTTACATGCAAAAGAGCCTGAGACAAAAAGCCAAATGCATGTCTGGACTGGCTTAGAGATGTTTCTTTGTTGTTGTTTTTTTCCATTGAAGAAAGCAGAAAACTTTTGTTTTCGGCGATATAATTATTCCTTATTAAGTGTCTAACATCAAACTGACTCAGCTTAAACTGGCCTCCAAGCATTTGACATATTTTAGTTTTTTTTTTTCTAATCAGCTGGTGGGTGTAACTTTAAGCCACACTGATAGAAAACAGACCATCCATAAAATGAGTGTTTAAGTGGCTGGAACAGAAGACAACCGGAGCAGCTGTGTGTTAAATAACATGCATTTGGCTAGCAGAAATGTTCTATATTTGAGAGAGTGTCTTTTTTATATCATTTATACAAAGAAGAAAGGCAAAGCAGCGAATAGATTTTTACTATTTCCCCTTATTAGATTAGGAGTATTCCTCTCACGTGTTGACATTAAATCGAGGGATAATATCAATGAAAAAACTGCTCAAATAGCAAAATGTCACAGCTTATTGAGCAGGTATGGAAGATGGACAGCAGAGGTGAAAAGTCAAAGGTGAGATGGTGGGTTCATGTTGCCTGACCTTTGACACTTACTCTGTCAGATATGGCTGCTCTCTGTTAGCGTCTTCTTCTTGTCTCCATGTTGTAAACATCTGTTTGGCCAGGCAGTGTCCAGCTGTGGAGGAAAACAAGAAGGAGAGGTAAATTACAGAGGATGTTGGCCAAGTTTTGGTCAGTGTTTTTGAGTGAGAGAGTCATTTTCCACGCTGGAATTTTGTTTTTTGTTTTAACCAAAATGGGCGGCTGTGGCTCAGGTGGGTGTCCTCTGATCGTAAGGTTGGCGGTTCGATCCCCGGTCCCTCCACAGTCAAAGTGTCCTCGAGCAAGACACTGAACCCCAAGTTGCTCCCTTGCATGGCAGCTCTGTCGCCATTGGTGTATGTATGGGTGAATGAGAGAACACTGTGAAGCGCTTTGAGTGCCGCTAAGGTAGAAAAGCGCTATATATACATACAAGTGCAGTCCAGTTCCCTTCAGTTGGTGTGTGAATTGGCTGCTCCTTCTGTCATTAAAATCCCACCTGGAGTGACATCCTTGTATTTTAAGGTGTTTTCTTTCTACCCTGCATAAAGAGCTGCTTCTCCAGCTTTGTGTTATTTTCTTATCTACTGGGTCAGTGTGAAATCTGAGCAGCATCATGACAACAAAACCTATTAAAACGCTACATTTCCTGTTGCAATATCAGCTACGAGCAGGAGCTGCTGTTATTTTACTGTATTTTTGGACTATATTTGTTTACATCGGATCAAACGGTCACTATTAAAAGTGTGTATAGAGACTGAAGACAACCTGAAAATGCTTAATTAGGTTTCAGGCAACTTTCTTCTACTATTTTGAAGCAGATTTATGAATGTTTACTCGCAATGGGAATTAGAAATGACAGTTTTCTTTGGAGGCGAAAGTGCCGCTGAATGATTTCAACATGTGTGCTCGGATGAGTTACGACTCTGAGAATGAAGATCAGAGTTGAATTCATCACAGCAGTATCTTTGCCTTCCCGTCACTTCAACACTGAAGCTACTGAAACATATTAGTTGTGGCATTATCTTTACCTTAAAGTGCAGAATCACCCCATTCAAAGACAGAAAACCTTAAATTCTGTGCCTTTGAACTGAAGCAGCCATATCTTTAGATGATTTGCATGTGTTAATCTTCACACACTTTGTTTCTGCTGTGCTATTTCTTCAGATTAAATTGTTGTTGTTGCATTTTTATTCTAATATTTTAAATTTTTGTGCTTTTATTAGAGGCACATAAAGGCAGAGAAGAAACCATCAGATCATCGAGCGGTGTCAACATCTACACACAGCATGTGCTAAAAGGCATTTCTATACTGCTGTCTACTTCGCATACATCACGGCGGCAGGCTAAACAACATCTGTCAGTATGATATAATATACTGCGGCGCCACAACCCAATTGCACAAAAGCAATTACAGCTCAATCAATACGCCTCTAAAGCAGCTTCAAAAAAACGGAGCACTATAACCTTCATGAAGAGTGAATTTACTGCAGGCCTGCTGAATCTGTTTTAGCTCGGTGTTCGTAATTAACTGGTAATATTCTGCAGAACAGAAAGGGCTAAACAATGTGACTTGGAGTTATAGTATCGAGTAGAGTTTTTGAAGCTGATGTGCAGGTGAGCAACATTTCCAGTCCTTCCAGTTGAGTTGTAGCACTGCTGCTCTGTTTGGACAAACAGCAACAAAGACAGAGCTGTTCCTAGGTCTGCTCTATGTAAACAGTCAAACAATAGCTAAATGTGAGCACAACACGCACCTAAAAACAAGAAGGAACACAGTCGCTCCCTTGTTTCCCCCCATATTGAGGCTGATATACTCATTTAGTGTCGCTAATATTTTGCGTTTGCATCTCACAGTGTAATAGTTTCTGCATAATAGAACCCAGAGAGAACCGACGCTGCACGGCGAGAACATGGAGACTCCACGCAGAAAGATCCCGGGTGTCCTCACCGGGACGCGAACCGGCGACCTTCTTGCTGCGAGGCAACAATGCTAACCACCGAGCCACCTTGCAAAGTATTTTTATAAATGGAAGAGTACAGCATACATAAATCAACAATAAATTAATGTAAGTTAGTTAGAAAAGGTTCAGCTGAGATAATATGTGACTACTGTAGATCTATCTTTTAATATCAGTGAGCAGTTTTCCAAAGCAGTCTCTATAGTTTGTAATTTTAGAAACGCCAGCCTCATTGTTTGTTAAGTGGTCTGACGACAGAAACAGCAGAATATGTAAATCAGAACAGTTGCACCATGAATTCAGTTGCAAACACAATTTAGGTGACCACAGAAGGCAGAAGGACATTGAATAGATGCCTAATGGGTTTTACGATCAGGGCAGTATTGTATTGTCTTTAGCTTTTTGTGTAACCTCACAACAAATGTTGATACAGACAACAGCACAGCACAACCTCTATCATGAACCTGTGTTTGTGTATATCCTATCATGTGTAAATAATGATTTGGTCCATCAGTCTTTCTCATCACCAGATGCTTGCTGGGATGCTGTTTTGTGTTGCCAACAGAAAAGGGGGGAAAGAAGAAGACAGTGAGCTGCTTTCATGTTCTTCAGCCGTTCACTGTGGACAGAGCTCAAACTACTTTTGTCCCTAAAAAGAAGCCCCTCAGTGTCACCTCAACATGAGCAACACAGACACAAATTCAGACAAGCCCATACCTCAGGTGGGAATGAGGAAGAGGAAGCAACTGAGCCACCCTGAATCTAATGATCGGCTGGATGAGAGAACGATGTGACCCCTGCATGCTTATGTGTGTTTGCAGATGTTTAAAAATGTATGCACCTCTGTGTAAGGTGTAGTTGGCTTCTCCTCGCAGTGTGACATTACAGCTTCCAGTCTGCGGGTCACATGGACACAGGTTGTCACAGTGACACTCCTGAGCACAGGCTGGACCGAAGAAACCCGGAGAACACGCTGACAAAAAGAGACGGAGAGAAATTAAAATAAAGTGACATTTTACAAAAAAGACAAGAACAGATTTAGTCTCACAATAGCACACTCAATGTAATGAAAAATTTAAGACTGTGAAGACTTCCATCCATCCATTATCTATACACTGCTTAATCCTCAGTAGGGTCATGGGGGGCTGGAGTCCATCCCACCTACGGACAATTTAGAATCACCAATTAACCTCAACATGTTTTTGGACTGTGTGGAAGGAAGCCCTAGAACCTGGAGAGAACCCACACTGCAAGGGGAGAACATGCAACCTCCATGCAGAAAGATCCCAGGTGTCCTCACCGGGACGCGAAGCAACGGCGCTAACCACCGAGCCACCTGTTAAGACTTCTTAACTGTAATATAAAATCTAGTTTCAAAAACCTGTGCCACTGTCACACCAGCAAAAATATAAAGTATGTTTTAAAAAAAAACTGATATTTTCCATCAGTGTATAATGTAACCACAGGTTCTAATGATATAAACAAATGAACGCAACCTGGACAAGTGCTGGTGTCATATAATGGATGGATGGAGGTTTTATTTTGCTAAAACTGACTATTAAGATCTTAGTCACGACTGCAGCTAGCAGTAGCAACGGCATCCGCATCACGCCTGATTGTGTTGACTGAAATAAATTGAGAAGCCTTCTGCAGCACAATCCACCATCACAACATCTCCCAGAAGCATGTTACGACCAACCTAACTTACTTCCTGCAGCAGGGAAGAGACACTATATAAGCCTTCTGGAAGCCTAATTCAAGATCTTTTAATGCTGTCACATGGCTTCTGAGCTCACATCTGGTGAGGGACATCTAGCGTAACCTGTCGTAAGGACAATTTCATTGACACAGATGCAAACTGCACATTATAAAAGAGCCTACTGTGTTCGCAGGTGTCACCATGGAAACCAGGAGGGCAGGCGCAGCGTCCGTCGATGGGGTTGCAGGAACCGTCGTTATTGCAGGAACAGGTCTGACTGCAGCCGTCACCATAGAAACCAGGGAGGCACACTTCAGTGAAAAAAAATGGGGGAAGAAAACAAAGTCATGTAATAAATGAATGAGTCGCATTTTTCTGCCCCCTAATGTATTTTACAAAAAAGCAATGTGAACCTAAACCAAACAATCTGGTTTGTTCGTCCACCAACACAAAGAAAGCATCATTTACGTGCATCTGTTCATGCAAGTTAAAACAATGTTTATTTGATTGAGTTCATGAATAAACCTGCGATCCGTATACAAGCAAGTAATAAAAATTATGTGTGGACAAATACATCTTACAGCCAAAAGGCTTCCTCCAATTACAAAGGAAAACAAAGGATCTAAAATAGGGGCAATTATTTTCACAAGTGTTTGAGGACTTTATTAGACACACAATGCTTATTTCCTGTTGGAATAATTCTCTGTTATGATCCAATGATCTTTTTGATAAGTCTATGAGTTAATGCTGTAAATGTCCATTACCTCTATTGAACTTTGTGAGTGTGAGATAAGGACACGATGTTCTTACCATGAGAACTTTGCCTAATTGCACCCGTTTGCGGGAGTTTGTTTTCTGTTTTCTGTTCACTGTCTGTATGTAAGAATCAGTGCTTTGTGCTTTTAGCAGAGATGGCAGAAGTACTCACATTCTTTACTTAAGTAGAAGTAGAGATACTTGTGTAAAAATAGAGTCTGGTAAAAGTAGAAGTGCTGACTCAACTCCTTTACTCAAGTAGAAGTAAAACAGTACAGGTTCAGAAATTTACTTAAGTACAAAAGGGAAAATGAATTTTTAGCTTTGATGATACGCATTACCTCTTTTGATAACTCTGCGAAACGAAACAAGTTTTAAGCACACAAAATAGGATTGTTTTCATCCTTTAGGAACTTGCACAGTGCTGCTACAGAGAGTAGAGTTTTCCATTTCAGCAACATGATAAACATTAAACATTATAATCAACATGGAAACACTCGTCTCTTCAAGACTACCAAAATCTTTTATTGAGCCTCAGCAGAAGCTGGTTCTCAAAGTTCTTTGAATGACGTTTCAGCCCTTTTGGGTCTGAAAATCAGTCCTGCAGGGCTAAAAAGCCTCTGGCAGGCAGCTGAGGCAGGCAGGGCTGTGTTGAGCTTCAGGGACAAATTGCACACTGCTGGTAAAGATAAAGACGTTTGTTGTTACGTCTTTTATGTCGTGTCGTCATCCACGTAGGTTGAAACAAGTAACGAACCAGTTTTGAGAATGTAAGGAGTAGAAAGTACAGATATTTGTGTTCAAATGTAGGGAGTGAAAGTAAAAGGTCGTAAGAAAAATCGATACTCAAGTAAAGTACAGATACCTGCAAAATCTACTCAAGTACAGTAACAAAGTATTTCGTTACGTCCCACCGCTGGCTTTTAGTCAGTCACTTGTTAAGAATCTGTACTCTGTATGGTGGCTCCTTGCTGCAAGTAAAACTTTACTTTGACTTGAGAGAAGACTCACAGAAGAGTAGGAAAGGCTGACATGAGTCTCAGATCAGACGCCACTTCAAAACATGTCACTTTTTTTTTTTTTTTTTACATGAAAAACACAAGCTGAAAACAATCACAAGGCAGTAACAAAGTAAAGATGCCTCTTCATTAGATCATTAAAGTAAGAATTCAGGTGACACAAACGATTTCATGCTTTTGTCAGCTCCGACCAAAACATAGCTTATGTCTCTTTTTGTCAACTTTTGTCCCCTATAACACATCTTCCTCTTTCCTCCCTTATCGGGATCTCAAATTACTCTTTTCTGTACAATTTTTTCTCACATGATCACAACAAGATCGTCAAGCGTGATGCTGATGTCGCAGAACCTGTAGGTCATGTTGCTCTTTCACTCTTTGTTGCTGGGATTTTACAGCATTTGGTATGCAAGGAGTACAACCAGCAGAGTCTTTCAGATCTATGTGTACAAACTGGAAACGCAGGGCTGAGGACCCTCTAAGGGTGAACTGAGGTGAAAGAGGTGAACCAGGGGCAGGTGAAGCCATGTGCAAACAAGACGTTTCTGATTTTCAGAGCAGGTTCACAGTATGTGATCTTTCAACTCTAAGAAGGATAATTATTGAACGTATTCTCGAGAAGCCAACAAATGGCAGACTTCTGATGTTGAGAAACTACAGACAGAGGAAGATGACTGAAGACAAACCAAACAATGTCTGCATATGATGTTATTTTATTACCTTTCTGAGGCCCAACTGGTGCCTTATACTTTACTAACAGGCAGTTTATACTCTTACAAAAACAGTTCATTTCATTCATTCCTTGTATTAAAACAATTCGCGGTTGGCGAACAGAGACAATAAAATGCCTTTTTTAAAGCTGGTATGACTGGACCTTTAGGGTAGGTTAAGGTTATAGGGCTTTGGAAATGTAATGAGGTTACACGTGTACAGAAAAACAAAAACGTGTGTGAGTGTGTGTGTGTGTGTGTGTGTGAGACCAGATAAGGTTTGATTACCTTGGCTACAGTTCTTCCCTCTCCATCCAGCATCACAGACACAGCCATCTGCAACACAGAGGACAGAGACAGAAAGACGTCAAACACAGCAGACACACAATGAGTCACCAACAAGAGGTAGAAGAAGAACTTTGATCCTTAAGCTAAAAACATGTTTGCAAATATATAAAAATGCTTTGTTTTGTGTATCTTAGGTAAGTTTAATTACTTGATTGCATTACTTATAGCGATATCTAAGACTGACAAAAGCCGTTATCCATTATCTCCATTCATTATCTATACACTGCTTAATCCTTCATCAATTCCTGCTCGCAGTTTTATTTTCCAGTCAACCCTGGCCAGGTGATAGGGACAAGAAGACTTGCATTGTGAAATTCTCTCATTCGTCCCTTATTCACAAAGCCCAAGGTTGTTCATTTAGCTCTTATACTCAGCAGCAGTTCATTTAGCTCCCACTCAGCAGCTTGTCTGTTTCTTCACCACCTGCTGCATCTGAGCTCCAGCTCCACACTTACTGGCCAGGCAGAGACCGTGGGGTCCACACGTCTGACACACCGACGAGTCACAAGCGACGCCCTGCCAGCCCTCCTGACACCTACAGTGTCCGTCCACACAGTCACCGTGTCCGCTGCAGTTTGCTGGCTGGCACCGAGGTGGATGGACACACAGGATGGTGGAGACCTTCCGACCACAGCGCCACCTGCTGTCTGGTATGCTGGGAGGGGAGGATGATGGGCAGTTCATGGGCATATACAAAAGAAAGCACATATCGGAACAAAGAACTGTCATTTCAATAACATCTATTGTACACATTTAACATCCTACGGTATACAATAAAGACATTTCAAGTGTGAAGTTTCACGTGTATGAAGGATTTCCTGGCTTACCAATGATCAGAGGGGTAGCTGGCCAGTGAGCCATTAACCACAAAAGTGGAAGACCCGCCTCCATCCAGATTAATGGCATTGATCACTCCATACTTCTTCAGGGCCTCAGCCATCTCCCAAAGACTCATACTGTATGGACACACAAAAAAAAAATCGAACTGAAAAGCTGAAGACAACCAGTAAAACCCGAAAAATGCTCAGGACATTGAGTCATTCTGGCAGAATGACATTAGCGGCGACTGCCAGATAACCAGCCCCCAGTCATTCTCCTTCACAACAATAACTCAATAACCCAGTTTGGCACAGACATTTATAGACTTCAGAGGAAAAATCCTACTGACTTTGGTGATCCTCTGACTATGGCAGCCCAAAATGTGCGTCTGCATAGCCACGATGTTACAAGCAGCAGTGCACATGCTTGGCAGTAGTATGCATATGCAGAATACGTAAATGCATGTCTATTGCATGTGCATTAAATGTAGCATCGAAGCAGACTCAATATAAGATAGAAGTCTGTTATATTGAGCTGTTTATAGCGTAATATCACAAAAAAGGTAGAAAATGTTGGGCAGACACATTACGTGTACTACTGTTTAGAAGCTCCCTTCTTTATTCAAGGGCTCTGCAGTTTTTTTAATGGCAACAAAGTATTTCTTGTTTAACTCATCCACAAAGGGTCCACATTCTAAAATCAAGTACTGTACTAGATAGTTAAATGAAGCCCTTGATGAGAAATTGTACTGAGCTAAAGAAGCTAGCTGCTAGCCCAGACATGATGCCAAGACTTCCATTCAAACACGATAATATCAGTGTGAAAAACATGCTAAATGTTGCAAGACATACTAATCATATTAAAAGTTGACACACTGATTTTCTAATGCTGGCATACATGCATGTGTTGGTTAACAACACTTCATGTTAATGAGCTGTAGCTGTAGCAGAATCTCCACTGAGCTACGGCCACCGATTTATCATTTATCAAGGGCCTTCATAATATGTACCTAAGAGAGGATAACCCATACAAAACAACAAATCCGTTTACCAATCAGGCATAGAGACAAGCCCGACATGTCCGAAAATAGCTACCCTTCACAAGATAAGTGGTAAAGATACTGGTCAGTTCAGCTGGCGACACTTTTGCTTGGTAGTGCATTTGCTTTATTGCGTAATAAATACAGAGGATGATTAAGCAATTATCAAGCAGCACTCATTATTAAATTTCTGTCCACTGACAAATCAATCAGGCACTAAAACCATTTAATACATTTTGTTATACCATTTATTTACTGCAGTTTGAGTGCCTTTGCTCAGTCTATGTTCCCTGTGGATCCTCAGCTCGCTTAAAGTATGTAAGTGGTGACTGTAAACACTGAAACCCATCTTTCAGGCAACAGTCACAACAACTGAGAGCATAACACCATGACGCGTTTTCAGCAGCCTTTATTAGAAATACTTAACAATTTGAAACTGCGGGCTTGTTGTTCTTGAGGACAGAGGGTCAGTCTCGAGGTCGCTTTTATTTTTTTCTTTAACATGTTTTATTGAGCAGGTGGAGGCGTGATATTGAGCCGAGATATACTGAGGGCAAGTGGACATATGCAGACATGTCAGTCTGTTGTGCCTGTAAAAGTGAGATCATTAACAACAGCACATTAATCTTTGGAGTCACCGCAGGGTCACTGCATTGAGGGTGGAGGGAAGGTCAGATCAATAGACATCGATTGGTGAAGGGATCTTAGTGGGCTGAGCTGACGTGAGGCCGATACTGTTAGTCCATCTCATTAACTAGCTCTTTCAGGGCTTTAAAATACCCTCTTCTACAGCATCCCTATTTGCCATCAGATTGTTTTTATTCTAAGCCTCCAGTTTCTCTTATTTTCTCGTACATTTTTGCAGGTATTTTGTTAAAACTGTGTTGCAACAATCTACCAGGAAGTAAACGAGCAGGATGAATCTAATTATTTATGAGTTCAGATGAGTGTGCTTTAGTTTCTATTTGCTTTTATAGTGTACCATCTTTAAGGTGTTTGTGCCAAGCCGGTATCTACATCTGTCTGCTACGTTTTATGGCTGGGCACTTAAGTTCATACCAATAAAAATGTGTTTGTTGTGTCAAGTATTGAAAACCATGTGGGAAACTGGCATCGACTGCTCGGCCAGATCATCTGTTTTGTTTACTTGTGCTGTGATAAGATATTTCCTGATGTGAATCAAAAAAAAATATTTATCCAGGCAAAGTCCTTGTAGAGATGTTTGTGTCATGAGAACGTAAACACAGATGCATTAAAAACCCAGGCTTGTTTTGTTACAATGAAAGGTTCTTTATAATCTAGAAACTAACGTATATCACCGGCATCAAACAAACTGGGTTTAAACTACTATGGAAAACCAAGAGGCATGTGTTTTTAAATGAAAAATGCAAAGATTGTAATGACTTGACGTATATTTGATAGAATTATCGCACACCTTTCAATGATCTTAGCTATTTTTAAACCGTGAACAATTAAAAGGGCATGGAGGTTGTTTTTCTCTGTGTTTGGCTCAGCAGTGGCTCAGGCCTGTAAAATCAAACCCTGCATATTTAATTCACACTTGGGGCACTTGTGTTAACTCAAAGGCTTGTGAGTCACTTTAGGCTAATGGAATAAATTATCATATGTTTTTTTTTCCTCATTCACATCTGTGTCTGCTCTTTCTGTACTCCCTGGAGGGCGACTACCTCTCTCATCCACTTACTGGGGGGTAAGTATAAAAATACTTCTTCCATTTCATGACTATTTCTTGCTGACTAGATGTTTGGAAGAGAACAGGAGTCGGCCGTAAACATCCTTTAGCTCTCTTCTTTTCTTACCCTCTTATTCCCGTCTGTCCGTCGATGTGAAACAGGACTAGCTTTCCCTCGGCATCATGGCCCACTGCCGTCCTGGCCGACACCACATCTACAAAAGTGCGTAGGTGCCCTGCAAAAATACAAGAAAAAAGTTCGCTGTTGTGTTTTTTTTTATTAAAACAAGTTCAAGAAAGCTTATCTAATCACACTGTATTATTACTGGAATAGCTATGTAGTATAGTTTCACATAAAAAGTCTTGGAAGACAATAAAAAACAAGAACCACAGAAACGTGCATCAAGTATAAATGGATTAACAGCTTTGTGTTTTTAACACAATGGCTTGTATTTTTGATATTCACCTCACATATGGAAGGTCTAACACCTTGCATCTGTGTATCCAGTGACTGAGGCACAATGACATGAGGCTGCTTGCACCGAGTCTGTTTTTCCAGCTAAAGACAAAACCAAACCACAGAACTAATGAAAATGTCCCTCCTTATCTTCTTTTCGGCCTGAGGCAGAAGGAGCTGAGGAATCCATCAGTGTTACACAATGTAAAACACATTGTGTAACACGTTTTGTAACACTAATGGAAAAAAGTCATTAGCACAGCTCAGTACAAGTATTTCACTTCAAAATTTACTGCTTGCAGCAGTTACAGCATCGTGTCCAGCTGCTGCACCAAGCTGTGCACAAGTTAAGACCAAAAGTGTCTCTGAAGTTATGATTTAGATCAGGGGTTCTCAACTGGTGGGTCGCGGACCTGTTCTGGGCGGGTCGCGGACAGCTGGTCAAAATTAAATCATATATAATGTGCATCTCAGGTTGGACTTATTTTTTATTTTGAAAAAACATTTATTTTGACAGGCATGGTAACCATAGCTTGTTTGACGTTCATTTTAAATTTGTGCTGATGTTGGGATGCAAGATGGCAAAGCGCAAATATGACCCGGAGTATTGAAAATGTTGATTTTCATACTAGGGCTGGACCCAAATAGCCAACTATTCGTTCCTTATGCTGGAATGGGGATATGAATTTTGATCTCCGAATATTCCTCCCACCTCCCCCCCCGCCACCGCCGATACAGCAGTGTGACCGTCGGCTCAGCCCCCCCCCCCGTCTGAGTAATAAGTTGAGAACCCCTGATTTAGATGACTGAACCAAATGAATGCATGTTGCACCATCAAAATCAGGTCTTATGTAGGGTTCAGTTGCTGTAAAGTATTTCCAACTATTGCCTACTTGATGCTACTTTGACTTTCAATCAGTCTGTTGCAACCCCACAAAGTAACCTGCTGGCCTGGAACTAGCGAGCTCTATGTAAAAAACAAAGGAAGGACTTTGTGGACAAATTCAGTGATGAAGTGAAACACCTGGTGCAACCTGACCAAGGGGGGAGTTGGCGATCTAAAAGTGGAACTTAACCATTGCAGTATTTCTAGACTCAACACCTTCAACTGTTTGTGGTTGGGTTGCATTGTAGGTAGTGTAGGCACCAACGACAAAAATAATAATTAAAAAAATACAGGAAATCAATGAGGTAAATATTGTGTTGAAATAAACATTTCACAGTAAAGACCTGAAAATCAATTCCTTATTTTAGAATGATAAGGTCAAGTTTCAGGGTTATGTAAACCCTGACAACTCACTTCTGGGAAACCTCATCCATTATACAATATGTGTGTGTGTGTGTGTGTGTGTGTGTGTGTGTTTGTGTGAGTGTGCACACATGTTTCTGGCTTAATGAGTCGTGTGCACTTAGCAAAACATCATGTAAACTTTGGTTGGTCAACATACTTTCACTCTTGTTAATCAAACACGGCTGCTGTTGGTGTTTTGGTGGTGGGATGAGGTTATATCAGGTCACAGGTGAGTTTCTGTGTTATGCAAACACTGGAAGGCAGCACGGGTGATATGGTTACATTTAATTACTGCTGAACTGAAGCTGATCCAGTTGCTACCTCCCAGTCTGGGCTGAGGTCAGGTGAACTGATCCTAGACAATGGGAGAGTATTCTAGAAGAGACTGGCATGCTATTAAATACTGGGATTGCATTATTTTGGATAGCCGTTAATACGGGCTTACTGACAGTCTGTGTCCTGTTACGTAGTCCGTTGGCTTGATGTTAAACCACTTGGTCCACATTATTTTTTATTTCTGATTTATTCTTCCCTTGTTAAGGAGATGTCAAATCCTTCAGTGTGTGACTTCAGCTTTTACACTTTGCTGCGATCAAAGACCAATTTCCGCTGGTTAAAAAGAAACCTTGCTTCCAGCTGTATAGTTTTCGCCGTCAGGATACGGATGTGCGACACCTACCCGTCTCCTGCATCTTGTCGCACTCAGCCTCCAGACTCTGTTTGATGTAAACCTCGCCATCCCTCAGCAGCCATATCACACCGCTGACCAACTGGACAAATGGGTTGGACTCGTCCAGAACATCTTCCTGTGACAGATACCTGAAGGGGCAAAAGACCGATAGAAGATCAGAGCATTATAACAGCCCACAGACAACACTGTAGTGTATTATCGCTTTATATTTCTACACTTAACAGCTGTGGAATTCACTAACATGCTCAGTTGATAAGTCAGCAATTTAGGCCCAGATTGAAATGTCTTAATAACTACTGGATAGCTTGATGTGTCATAGCAGGACACCTCTAAATGTACTGACCAAGGTATTGTCAACCTCAGCAATGCTTTGAGGGTAAAGTTAAAACTATTAGTTCAATTTTAATATAGATATATAAATATTATGTAGCCTCCCAGTTTTACAAGCCAATACGAAATCGATCCAGGTGCGATGTAATCCTGTCCAGCTATGCGCCATCAATCACAGACGCCGCAGACAGTGTGTTCCTCGTGAAGGGGTCGGGAAGAGCAGCAACTCTTTAGATTTCAGCGCAAAGCTGCCTGTTTAGAAAAGCCTGGGGTTACACAGTCCTGGTGGAATTAACCAACTTTGCAGCATTTTGAGCTGAAAAACTGAAACTGTGGGGAGACTTTAATAAATTTGCTGAAAAGCGGCACCGTTTGGGGCTGTTAAGACTAAGAAGCTGATTGCTAGCATGTTACTCCACAAACAGCAAACAAGTTCTGCTCTGAAAAGAAAACTTTATACTCAGCAAAGTGAGGTAGCGCAAAAAAAAAAAATCTACTGTTAGAAATCCATTTAGTACGACAGCACAAGTATAATGAGGACACGTGAAAACAAAAGGTCAACATCATACGTAAAACTAAAACGGGACAGGGAAACCAACGGCTGCCTTTCAGAGGATATTTGGACAAAACACTGTGAATTTCAATGGAGGATATGGAGTTCAACCTCATGGAGATCATTTGGCTGGAAGTATCTTATTAGGTACTTTATTACACCTGCTCAGAGCTCTCGTCATTCAGGCTCTTCTACTTGCTGGAGGTCACGTGGCTCCCAGGAGGCCAATCATTACCACTTGTTTTGGGCCTGTCCAAAAGCAAACGCTTTTTGGTGCAAGATTTATTCAGAATTAGCGATTTAATTTGGGTCGGATATCACATTTAACTTTTGGGCTTACACACTCTATAGCTATGGGTGTTAAAGCAAGATATCTGTTTGGTGTTAAAAGTGTAGCTGCTACCAAGAAATGGCTTAAGCCAGATGCTGGATCAATAGAGGACTGGTACGACATAATTTATGAAATATTTGTAATGGAGAGAATAACTTTTTCCCTGAGACTGCAACAATCCAAATTTGAAGCTATTTGAAAGGATTGGAAAGGGTATGCTTCCCTGAGACGCCCCTCTTTAGTTTAAGATTTATTTCATTCACCTGATTGTCTTTCAGACAGGACACTTTGTCAGGTTATAACCATTTATTTGAGATCACATACATTTAGTTTGGCGGTGACTCTGCTCGTGATGCTCTGGAACGATCTGCGCAAGCATGACACAGATAATCCCTGAGATCACAAACCCCCGCAGAGCCATGAATTTACAATTTACAATTTTTCGAATACAGTATGAACACGAGACCAACTAAATAGCCTTCACTAACAGAATCTAGATTACATAGTTCAAGGTACAATAATGAACCATCTGCAACCTACAATCCCACGATATGGGAAACACGGGGTTATATGAGATTGAACCGTTTTTAAAAGGTGGTGGTTGGGGAGGAGGAGGAGATTTGATGATCTGCAGAGGCTGGAGTAGCAGCGATGTGGTGAGCGTGAAGCGGGCAGAATGAATGAACGCTGCCTCAGTTATAAAGCACGCTAAGTGGGTGGGCTGGACTTTAGCGATGACGATTGGACAGGAGGGGCCATGTGACCGCCTGACTCCGTGCCTGTCTGAACTAACGCGAAGCTCCATTTACATTAAGGTTTTTAAAAAAATAAAAACGCCCCATGTTCATGTTGTATTGGCATCATGCAATCGTACAAAATGTGTTATGAAAAAGAAAAAGGAAAATGGGTCACTGTGGAAATATAATTACCTGTGATGAAGAAGATTGCATGTGATGCCAAATAAAGAAACATTTTTAAAAAGATGAAAACAAAAGGTCTAAACTTTAAAACATTTTCTCAACACCTCCAGGTTTATATCAACCACAAAACACAATACATACAGATTTCCCCCATATAGGACCTTTAATGCCACTTTCAGTTCTATTTTTTATTTATTTTTTCACAAAAGAGGCTCAGCCCACATGGTAACTTCCAGTATACCAACAGTGGCAGATCAGCCTGTTTACATCTTGCAGCAGCTGTTGCTCTTTGATAAAAACCCATAAAAACACTCAGATATCAGCATTTCAGACCCAGTTTGTTAGTCACATGATTAAACAGCTGCTAGGACTCTGGACTTGATTTAACTGGGCAGGGCGAGGCTACTGAGCTAGCGGATATTGTTTTTCACACGGAAAAGCTGCTGCTGATCAAGATCGCTGGAGCGCTCCACCAGAATTATTTTCACACATATCCGATCTGTGTTATTTGCGAGAAGTCAAGCGTCCGCAGGAGGCGTAAACACAGCCCTTCCGTTGCATCACACCGACACCACAAGTTGGTGTTGTGCGCATGAAGCAGTATTTTCTATTTTAAATTAGAGGCAGGTTTGTTATTAGCCGGACTTACAGGTCCAGGACAACACATTAAAACTCCTCCGTGTGGTTGTTGCGAGGCTCCAGCGCAACCACAGCCAGTGTTGCATCAGGTAGGAATTCCTGGCATTTGTGACCTCAGTTATCAAACAAACAAGTTAAATAGACTATTTCATGGTTTATAAGTAAACGGTGAGAGCACGTGCGGTTGTTTGTGTGGGTCAGTGAAGATGTGCTCACCTCCCAGTGGCGTTATAAAAAGCTCTATCGTAGGGTAATAATCAAGTTTTTAACTAATATCTATTTTAACTTCTGGGTGGATCTTCAGTTACTGACAAGACAATTGGACAGTAGTTTCAAGCATTTCCTTTATTAATTTATCATTATAACCCACTGGTTCAACGGTGAGTCATGTAGACATGAACTCATCACTTGTGGATTGTTTTTGACTTGTTCCTTAAACTAGAGCAGAGTTTATAAGCTACAGGTCCGTGCAAACAGGAAGTCACTAATTTGCAAATGTGGTTTACATGACACGAAACCAAACAGAGCCCAGCAGCAGGGGCATACGTGAGAAGAGATAGCATATTAGAAACGTGAGGTCAGGTGCGAACGAGCAGCAAGACGGGACTGAAAGTGGCTTGTGTTTATGCAGAATGTAGTTTCTCACTGTTTAATGACACGTCCCAACACCGATGATAACTTTCATGCAGGGGGCCCGTGCCTTATCAAAAATAAAAGCGGCTTGTATGCTGAATAAGTCTGGCGGCTTGCCGTAACCTGCCTGCAACATGGATTTCTACGATTCTTGTTTCTAACGTTTGTAAACTAGCTTTTCCAGTGAAGCTCCACTTAAAGTTCACTCTAAGTTTGTAAAGTGAACTTCAAGATTTTAATCATTATTCTAACAATGCCAACAGTATTCAGCTGCATCTCACAACAAGCTTCCAATAAAACAGTGCACGTCATCGCATCGTGGTGCATATAAATGGTTAGTGAGATGGTTCGATTAGTCTTTCGCCCCTATACCCAGGTCGAACCACCGATTTGCATGTCAAGACCGCTGCGGGCCTCCACCAGAGTTTCCCCTGGCTTCGCCCTGCCCAGGCATAGCTCACCATCTTTCGGTGTGCATGCTTGGTCAAAATCAAAATTGCAAAGCAGACACTATGTAAAGATGTCGATTTAAGTGTCAGGATTTTGCCAATTTTTAGGACAGCTGCCTGCTGAAAATCTTCATTATCATTTATTCTTTTAGCCTTTAAAGTCCAAGGTAACGGCATCCACATTTCCTGTTACATTTAATCAACTAAATCCATCCATCCATTATCTATACACCGCTTAATCCTCACTAGGGTCATGGGGAGCTGGAGTCTATCCCAGCTGACTCAGGGTGAAGGCAGGGGACACCCTGGACAGGTCACCAGTCTATCACAGGGCTACACTTAGAGACAGACAACAAGCACACTCACATTCACACCTACGGACAATTTAGAATCACCAATTAACCTCAACATGTTTTTGGACCTTGTGGGAGGAAGCTGGAGAACCCAGAGAGAACCCACGCTGCACCGGGAGAACATGCAAACTCCACGCAGAAAGATCCCGGGTGTCCTCACCGGGACACGAACCGGTGACCGTCTAGCTGCAAGGCAACGGTGCTCACCACCGAGCCACCTTGCAGCCCCTAACTAAATCCAAAGATATCAAATTTACTATCACAAAAGACTGCAGCAAATCCTTACAAGTGAAAAGTTGTAAACAAAGAGTGTTTCTGTGATCACTTATCAATACTGATTAATCGGTTAACAGCTGCAGCTTTAAAGGTAATCAATATGAAAAATGTGCCAATTCAGATGTCTCCCATTTAATTTAACAGCGTTATTTTTGGTGGGTAAGCTGACACGGGTTTACATAAGACTGGAGCTGGCACACTGACAAGAGAAGAACTGCTTAGAAGGGAAGAAGGACTCCATGCATGAAAGGAGCTGCTACAGAGAACCACAGCTGCAGAAGCTGTCTGGTATTAGAAGTTTCATTTTGACTTTTGTCTGCCCCTTTTTTAAGGAAAACAACTCACTTTATTCAGCAGAACAGGTGTGTTAACATCATAGCACTTGTAGGGACACTTAACAGTTGGTGTAGGTTTTCTGGTCTTGAAAAGAGCCAACCACATTGTACATACTGCAGATGCTTGCAGTAAATATATATATATTAAAAAAAAACAAAACAACAGCACTCGAGTCAAATCATACATAGAGCCGCACCATGCCAGAACTGCTCCCTAATAAAGAACATTTCCAAAGTTTTAAAAAGTGGAACTTTTTTGGCTCAGACTGAGGCTCTCAGACTTCATTCCCATCTGACATTCATGATTAATACAAAATACACAAGAAACACACATTATCTTATTCATTTTGAGCAATGTCTGGCCATGAATGAGTTGTGATTGAGTCTTGATCACTTGGATGAACTGACCCTTCCACAGTAGAAGTGTGATTGTTGGACTGATTGTACTTCAAAGACACTAGCAGTGTTTTTCAGCATCACAAGCTGAATCTCTTACCCGAAAACCAGGCTGCCGTCGCTTCTGATTCCAAACTGGGCGTTTTGCACTCCGCCGCTGTCCTGAACCCTCCTGCCGTCGCTCACCACGTTGCCCAAACACGCGCCTGAATGTGTGTTGAAGAAGCCGGCGTTCTGGGCGTACAGACACCCAGCAGCCGCAGCCGTCTCCTCCACTGACACTCTGTGGTTCATTTTACAGCCGCCAGTGCCTCCTGGCTCCAACACAGACACCGTCCTCAACGGGTCATGGACCACCGTCATGTGACCTGCAAACACAGACGCAGCAGGATGAGATGAGGGGACACAAAGTGAAACACCTGCATTCAGAGCTACAACATAACGGGACTACATCAGCTAAGCAAGCTGCTCAATGTCAAATTTTATTTAATCAGAGTCGAGTTAAGTCAGTAGGATGATGTTTTTTACTTTAAGAATATTGTGTTAATAATATTAGTTGCAGGCAAAATGAATCTCTTTTCCTTGTAAATACTTTTCTAGTCAATTTGCACAGATCAATCACACATCAGGAAGTGTTTAATAAATAGAGGGATATCATCAAGGATCAAATCCAGGTTCCACACAGAGAATCTGATCAGCCCAAATTATCTACACTTGATGGAGTTATTTTCTGTTCCTGCAACTTGAGACATCTTCACCAACCGTAAACCCATCTGGAGCTTCCCGGCACATCAGACGCAAACAACGTGGAGTCAGCGACAGGCCGTCCGCTGTGGTTACTGGATGGATGGCTCTCGTGGGTGGTGTTGCCGTGAGCGATGGGCTGACAGCTTCTGACGTGGCGGTGAGAGTGGGTGGGGCCGTGGCCATCAGCGTAAGGCAGCAGGAGGTCATCGTCCATCGACACGCTGCAGAGGAAAAATTTTGTTCATTTCAACGGCGAGAAACAAAGGCAGACTGAAAATCGAGTCAAGACTGTATTTATAAAATTCAAAACATATACATGATGACATCCAGACTGAGATGTGGTCCAGCTTATAGAACACTGCGAGGTGTATTAGGCCACTCTGGAGAATGTTAAGAATGGCTACACATGACTGTTTTGCAGTCATATTGGACCTTTGTGACAATTAATAGAAATGTCATTGTTATGTTCTCTACAGAACATCAGTTTTTGCTTTCACCATTTACATGAAATTACTAAATAAAAATGCGGCAATAGTAGATATTACCCATGAAACCCACTGGTGTTCTTGAAGGAAAAACAAAAGCCCAAACTGAGTGCTGATGCCATCCACAACAGCACACCAGTGTGTTCAGCACTGTCAATAAATCCTGGAGTATCTCATTGTGTCATGGTGGCTCACAGTGGAAGAAAAACATTCCCACAGCTCTTAAAGCGATAAAAAACATAACTCCCCCTTGGGGACTCTGTGGAAATAAAATATTTTTTTAGTGTTGTTTTTTTTTTTACATTATAAATAAAACCTGTGTTGGCTCATTTAATGGGGTAGATTTCATCACACTGCCTCCTCTGGTCAAATCAGAGTTTCATCACATGTAGGAATGTGTTTTCACAAAAGCTGAGCTGCGGTTTCTCTTCAGCCTCAAGTAAAAACAGCCCGTGACCAATCGAGCTTTTCAAAACTTTATTATCTCGTCATTATTTTAATGTTTAACTTTTATCCGTGACTTCCTCCTTTTGTCACACTGTTATTCGACACGAGGGCATTTTTACCTAAAGGATGATGTCCATTAATAACTGACCACCTAAAAATCTGTTTAGCAATTAATCAACTATGTGTTTCTGCAGTCTGACATGGGAATTGTGTCTCAGCAGTAAACAGGCTCCATGGTTGATTTTTGTAATTTGAAGTCATAATAATGTCAAGATCCCTAAAATACATGATTTGAGCTTAAATATGGCATTTCTCAGCTGAAACACCAATGTCTTCAATTTGCTTGTTTCGACTGAATAGCTGTATAACAACATATAATATTAAATTCAGTTCAGTTTATTTAGACTTTATTCCTCCTGGAAAAACAGCTTGAACTCCAATTGAAAATTCACTGTCAGATGAAAGCCAGCTGACTGGCGAACAACGAATGGTGAATCTAAGAGTTGCTCTTAAAACACGACATCCTTGAATTGTAACATAATATTGAAGCAGATTGTTGGAAACTGTTTGTATCATAAATTAGGAGAATTTTTTTTAAATAGATGCGCAAATGGGAAGCATAGATTTTGTCCCAATTTTTGTGTAAGAAAGACTTTAAGGGTATTAAATGTGCTGGTTGCATGTGGAAAGTGGAGATAGTCTAAAAAATGGACACATTGTCGGTCTGCAAAAAGGCACAATTTACAAACTATACTAATCGATTTGTTTGCTTTACTCAAATAATCAATGTGCTCTCTCAGATCAACTTCCCTTCTTTAGTTCAAATTCAGAGACCTTTTTTTTGCAATTATAGTTGTTGTCAAGTGAGACCTTTGATGAGTCTATGATGTCTTTTTGCCACCATCCATCCATCCGTCATCTATACACCACTTAATCCTCAATAGGGTCGTGGGGGGGCTGGAGTCGTATCCCAGCTGACTCAGGGTGAAGGCAGGTTCACCTGGACAGGGAGGGGACACCCTGGACAGAGACAGACAACCAAGCACACTCACATTCACACCTACGCACAATTTAGAATCACCAATTAACCTCAACATATTTTTGGACTGTGTGGGAGGAAGCCGGAGAACCTGGAGAGAACCCACGCTGCATGAGGAGAACATGCAAACTCCACGCAGAAAGATCCCGGGTGTCCTCACCGAACCGGTGATCTTCTTGCTGCGAGGCAACGATGCTAACCACCAAGCCACCTTGCAACCCAAAATTAGGATGTGACAGAGCTATTTTCATTTATAAGAATGGACTGTTTGCGGGCTTTAGATAATGAAACAAGCAAAGATTTTCTGTCAACTACTGAATTAGTTAGTTGATGAATTCCTGCAGATCCAACCAGTCTTCCTGTTTAGTGTAAGCCTAAACTCTACCTCTAATGGGTGAATCATGAGAGGTAGACTGTAAAGCCTAAAATATGCAGTCAAATGATCATTTACTAAATAGAAAATGGCACACACACACTAAGCAAGGTCAGGCTGAGGTCACCTCCACAGTGGGGGAGGGGTCAACCGTTACACAACTACAATCTGCAGTAACTTGACATGGGTGCCTTCAGGCCAACACCTGATATGCAGCTTCACATAAAATTAGCCTACACACACTTTGTCACATTTACATGTTTCTTTTTTTAAAAATATTGCTCTAGTTTTTCTAATAGTCATGCAGGGCTGGGCGATGCTGTGTTTGTTTATTAGTCGTACGATTTGAGCCCCTCTTTATTTGTGCATTTCTTTGGTTTCAACCTGAGTCCAGGATTTTCCGACCTCGCATGACTTCTCTGTCATGAGATGTGAGTACTTTTCCCCACAAGGAGAATGCTTTACTCTCAAAACTAAGACATTCTAACAAGGCGAGGAGAGTTCTGCTGATCCTACAGCCGGAAAATCATTTGAACACATGGGGAGACTGCAATATAACACAGCAATGGTCTAATTAATAAACACACTGATGTCTGAAGTAGCATCACCAGTTAACAGATAATCTATTGATTATTTTCTAGGTCTAAATATATAGTGAAAAATGCCAATTGTAGTTACTCACAGTTCAAAGGGATGCATTGGGGTTGCCTGATTTGTTCAATCAATAGTTTAACAGTGAATAATATTGTGTTTATTTTCAGATTATCATAAGAAAGGTCACATTATCCCATTTAAAAAGGCAGGAACAATACAACTACAAAAAGAAATTTTAGATTAATTTTCCATCAATAAATCTACTACTTTGCAGATGTGTTTATTTAAATAGAAGAGTATTTGTTTACATGTGACAGCTTGTTCAAACTGCACATGTGTGGTGCAGCGGCGCCATCTTGTGGCTAACCGGTCCGACTGCAGCAACGTTTTCACGGAAGCTTCCTCCAAGAACAAAAATAAAACGTGATGTCTCATCTTAAAAGTTTGCACTAAACAAGTTTTATCTGCAGCTGAAACCACGACAACACCGGAAAAGTTCAGTGTAATGAATACGGTCAACGTGACAGATGTAATTACGCCACACGCCATATTTATTATTTAGTTTTATTACTTACATTTAAAGTGATTTGCTTTAATATTTAAGCAAACAGGTGGTCCTTAGTCCGTTTTCTATTTGAGCTCAGTCGGTCAAATCTGTCAACTTTGAACCACTTTAAGAGTTTCGATTCCGGATGCTGTTGCCCAACAGCTGCCAAATAAGGATAGCGGTTCGGTTAGCTTGAGTTTATGTACTTAGGTGTTAGCATGAAAACACTACGTCGTTTCAAATTAAATAAATTTTACCAAAAAAAACACCCACAGCCAGCGGACTAAACTGACAGCCACGAGGTAAAGAAACTAGTGTGGACATACTTCTCTCAACCGTTAGGCTCGGCTAGCAGCAGCTAGCATGCTAACCGTAGCACTTAGCTCAAACAGCCTTCTTACCGGGTGTGTTTGGTGTCGGACAGCCGGACACAGAGCCACAACAGCAGCCACACACACGTACATTTCACCGACTCTGCTGCCATATGAGGAGGAAAAACTAGCCTGCCACACTCCCCTCTCCTCCTGCTGCTGCTGCTGCTGCTGCTGCTGGATCCCACATTATCCAGCTGCACACAGCACGCAGCACCAAGGTAAACACTACGCGACACACTTACCTTTACTTAACAAAATAAAAGCCGTGGTAGTAGACGGTGAGCAAAATAAGGGATTAAATTAGATTATTTTTTATTTTCCTGATTGGCAGGTAAGTAGAAGATTTTTCATTTTATTTTTTTAACGATTGCTGAAAATCAATACATTTAGAGGTAGTTTAATTATGGCATATTGTGCCAAATTGGACGTCAATAATCATCTTATGGGTGGATAAATTGTAATTAAGTAAAAACCCATATTAAGATAATTTTGACTTACCTTGGCTCGACTGAAAAAAGCGCTTTACTGCACAGAATTTCATTATTGTTATTACTGGTATTAATATTATTATTGACATACTCGTATGTTACCTCATAATTTTGACTAAGCGCGAGTGACTAATCATAAAGTTAATCAAATTTGCAATTTTCCTCGCAGCAATATGTTGGTATTAATCCTGTGTCCTGTCACAAAGCTATACGTCTGTTTTATTGTTGTGTCCACAGACACTGGTGATGTTATCTAAATTCTATTTATCGTGGATTGGCTGTTTAATTAAAGATCTGGAGGTTGTGGCAGGTTTCTGTGCTGTGTTTTGAATTTCTGCAGTGGGGGCTTACATTTTACTTACATTTGTGTCATAATTTGACAGACAACAGGAATAGGAAACATATTTTGCTCATCTACTATAGACGTTTTATCACACTGACTAGGCCCTCCTTCCTACATGTTGTGTTAGATGAACATTAAAAACAAAGCCAAAAGTCAAGTGGCACTGTTGCCCATCCATTTAATATATGATGTATTTAACAAACAAGACTGAGGAAGTTGTTGTCTTGCAAAAGCTAGGGTGGACTGTTACTAACTCATATTACCCCAACAATAAAATTAATGCATATCATGCATATATGATTTCCCCTAGATATGAAATATGAATTCAATTAAGACTTCTTTTTTTTCAAACTACGGCAAGAGAAACACACTGGGACTGTAAATCAAGAGGTGTTTTAAACTTGAACTTTATAATACTACGAGTATTTCATATAAATGATGCGCTTTTACTTTGAAGAAAATTGCAGCGCTTCCGTAAATGTTGCCGGTAACTTGACATAGTGAGGTCACATCACTTGTCTCCGCTCGGCTGCAGCCACAAGTCTGTCACCTGTCCTGCACATATATGGGCAAGTTGAAAGAGGAAATAAGTATTTAGTGACAGTAAGGACGTGTCTTCTTTTGATTGTTTGTTTCCTGTCTTTGCTCAGTCGACATGTTTCTCCTTGCATTCATTTTCTCTTAATTTTGAATTTTACATTTATTGTCTAAATTAGTTCCAGGAGGATCTTTTGTGTCAGTGCCCCTCGGCCCATTGTTCTATTTCCATCTATGGTATGAAGTCATCAGTTTCAGTTCTCTAATCAGTGTTGTGGCTCAATCCCACATCTCTGTTCTGACTCTATAGATGAGTCTTGTTGACATCTGTACCATCTAAACTGATGCTTATTTATGAATGAAGGCATAACATGTTACAGTCATGTTTAAAATGCTGTAAATTGGTCACAGTTCCCTTTTCATTTACTGTTTTTATTTCCCAAAATTTCAGTTTTACTAATAAAATAAGAAAACAATGTCACTTTATGGCATCAGTGAAACTGAAGCACGCTCTCGGACAACTTCTCAGGTTTGTAGGAGACACCATAAAGAAACCATCTCCGACCACCTGTTGCATCAGCAGCAGAGAAACCAGTATAACAGTGATTATCAGCCACACCTTTCTGTGGAACAGATGGAGCAGACTAAATTTAGCTTCCTCCCAAAGTTGGCATACCAAAATGCCACTCCATGCAAATGACATCTGAACATATTGTCCTAAATGTGCTACACTGAACAAGAGAAAAGAGAATTTGCTGTGTCTTTGCAAGATTTATTAGGGTTTGTTTGCTTCTTCCAATCTTCATTAAAGGTTTTTCTTAAAGTGGATTTTTTTTTTCAGGGTCATAACATGAGCCTGACCTGTCTACAAAGTAAATATCACACTATAATATGATAGCTTGAATAAACAGACCATGAATCTAGATTAACCATCCATCCATCATCTATACACTGCTTAATCCTTCACTAGGGTCGTGGGGGGGCTGGAGTCGTATCCCAGCTGACTCAGGGTGAAGGCAGGTTCACCTGGACAGGTCACCAGTCTATCACAGGGCTACACTTAGAGACAGACAACCAAGCACACTCACATTCACACCTACGGACAATTTAGAATCACCAATTAACCTAAACATGTTTTTGGACCTCGTGGGAGGAAGCAGGAGAACCCGGAGAGAACCCACGCTGCACGGGGAGAACATGCAAACTCCACGCAGAAAGATCCCAGGTGTCCTCACCGGGAGGCGAGCCTTCTTGTTAACCACCGATCCACCCTGCAGCCCCCTGATGAGCATTAACAAGTCTTTTTTAGAAATCAGGTTTTTCTCTGAGGTAATACTGATTAATGTTCCTCTATAAATAAATGAACACATATTATTTGTTCTTGTTCTTTTCACTGAGCTCTCCGTATCTATTGTTTTGGACTTCTGAGGATACTTTAAACCATGTTTCTGCAGCAACATAAGATATTTCAAAGGGTTCCCATATTTCCAAGCAAATACATTTTAAATGTGCAAACACTGTTCGTGGCTGAATACGGCGTAATTAGTCGAAATGCTGCACAGTGAGTCTGAAAGCACAGCAGAGTGCCTCTCTCATGCCATTAAGATTTCTTCTTGTGTTTTTGGTCCAGCACTTGCACAGTGTTCTCCTATAGTGTGATTATTATATGCTGATTCAAATATATGATAGGAAAGATCACGGGTGTCCTCATCGGGACGCAAACCGGCGACCTTCTTGCTGCGAGGCAACAGTGCTAACCACCGCTCCACCTTGCAGCCCCTCAGCTGTACATGCAAAGCTCTTTTTTTTTTTATTTGTGAGTCTTTCAGAGGTGAAGAGTTGTTTATCACTGAGTGTCAGAATGTGACGACAAATAGTTCAAAAATTTAAAAAAAATAACATTTTTTCAATTTAAAATTGCAAAGGATCTGCAGTTATGATTATCTACAGTACATACCAACATAAATTCAGAGAACCTGGAGAAATCTCCAAATGCTTGCAAAGGACAAGGCCAAATACCAATATTGAATAGTCTTGGTGTTTGGGTCCTTATGCAGCACTGCAATAAAAACAAACATGACTCTGTAGGGGAAGTCAGTGCATTAATTCAGGGTCAATGTCCGTTATTCGCTGCATCCACATTAAGACAAGTTAAATCTTTTAGCATGTAAAGGAAAGACATATACGAGCAACATGCAGAATCCCAAGCTGTGATCTGACAAATTAAATTTTGATTTTTTTTTTTTTTTGAAATCATGAATGTTGCATCATCCATCGACCTCATAGCTTGTGATCAGCACACAGTTGAAAATGAATCGTGACGGTTTTGGGGCGCCTTCATCCACATGGCATGTGTAACTTTCCCGTCTGTGAACATCACACACTCAGTCTCTGATCGTCATCTCAGGAGACTTTAATCATACGTCGCTCTCTACCACTCTCCCCACATTCAGCCAGTGTGTGGAGACAGTGGGGCCTTGGACCTGCTGTGTGTGGACACCAGGATGCATATTACTTAATTACTGTTATTTTCTTGTACTTTCTATACTTTCTGTACTTTCTGTACTTTTTTGGATGCTGCTGTGGCATGTAAATTGCAGGAAGACGCAAACCTGCAAGAGGAACAAGTGCAGGTGGAAACAAACCTGCCGGACGAGATTCAAACCGTGGAGGTAAAGAATGAAGAGGTTCCTGCCAAGACCAAGAAGGGCAAGAGACTCTTCAGTTTCTTTCAAAGACTGATGACGAGAAAGACGGAGGAGGAGAAAAGACTTAAAAGTGAAAAGAAAGAAAAAGAAAAGGCAGAGAAGAAGGCCCTGAAGGAGCAACAGAAACAGGCCAAAGCCAAAGAAAGAGACCTGGTTCCACTGATGGAGTGTGGCAGCGACCAGAAGGCGGACTAAGCTGCTGCTGGTTCAGGACGGACAGCAGCAGCTCCCTCTGCCTCCTCCCGTCCCCCAGCTTCCCTTCATCCTCCCCTTCTCCTTACCCATCCTCCATGACTGTCCCCCCCCCATCTCCTCCACCCTTATCCCTCCTCCAGCCTCCATCCATCACCCCTCTCCTCCATCAACCTCACGTGGGTTTTCCCCAGGTGCTCCGATATCCTCCCACAATCCCCCAAAAACACGCCGATTTGAAACTCTGAATTGCCCCTCCAAAAAAACTGGATTTGGATAAATACAACAGAATAAAGTCCGCTCTAAATTCTTTTTGGTTTCCAAGTGTTGAAGTTGTTTGCAGGTCTTGAGGGTTTTTTTTAATCATTATAACTGGACAGGATTAATATAAAGGTTGGTGTTCAATATGATAGAACTTTACTGAGATCATGTTTTTAAGCTGCTGCTGAGAGTCGTCCCACTGGGGTGTGTTCAACAAACAGGTGACGAATCAATGAGTCCAATCTACAAAGAAATGTACCACCCGATATTTCCATCATAAGTTGTCCATTTTATCATCGCTTCAGTTACATCTGATTTTTCTGATTCTTCAGTTGCAGCTGATAACAAACGATGGATTTCACAGCTAAGTTATTTTGAAGAGCTGATGATTCATACGCATTTGAAGATGAAGGAGATTTATTTTCTTCACGTTTTTTTATTTAAAGAGAAATAAAAATGCATATCAAACGAGAGCTGAGGTCTTAAGAGGTTAAAGGTGCTAAAGTTTGACTTACTCCGAATACAAAAGAAGAATCCTGACTCGTCCCAAACTTAAATCTGTCACGTTTTCTACGATGAAAACTAGTCTGTCTTGTGTTTGGCCTTGGCATCTATTACTCTAGAAAGAAACCACACAGGGATCCTTGTGTGACGCGAGTGTAATTTTTTCTACTTTTATTTTGGCAACAGTATGAATCGATTTCCGGTGTAATTGTCGCTAACAATGAATCGCTTGACCTTCCGTTGTCTGTGAATTTGAACGTAATATGTGCCATATTTTACGTTGTATTGTGTTGTTTTTCACAATTTCCAGTTGTATCGTGTTAGTAAATAATTAACGAGTTTTTTTTCGGGTCTTTTAGTCAAATTAAGCGACATTTAAAGTTTGTCGGTGTCCGCTGGTCGGGGGAAGGTTTTTAATGTAACACAAGGATAGAGTTGAAGGGGAACATGGCAGCTGGCATCAGTGCTAAACCTGGATTATTAAGCAGTAAAACCGCGCTGATATACGGTCTGTACAGAAAGATATCCCCACATAGTGTTTGCATCCAACGGGCGGCTGAACTTCAGAGTGTGAGAGCTTCAGCGAACGCGACAGTCGACTCACAGCTCAGTGAGAAGTACTGTCTGGACCTGGTCCGGTGGGTGGCTGCACTCACTGCTAGCAACACCAGCTAGCCGCTTAGCTAGCTAGTTACAAAACAGCTTAATTCACGCAGAGGAAAGTCCTCATCATAACTAATTAAAAATGATAAGTAATATCATGCTAGTATAGCGAGATGATAACCCACACATTTAGTTCAGCGCAGGTTTTGTAAGGGGACATCTTCACACCAAACTACATTCAAAAATTGGGTAAAAACATAGAAAGTGCACGATTTTAAAAGAGTAGTAAATGTAATTTGAAGGTCAAGTATGTTGTTTAAAAATGTTGTTTTCACTTTTCATATCGGCTGTCAAATGCTTGAAAAATCCTCATGGTTGCAGCTCCTAATAAGTCTGAAGAAAAGAGCAGTTTCTGAAAACAGCTGTTCTACTAAAGCTCAAACTAAATGGACCCACGTGGGCAAGTTGTTTATCTGTAAACATGTGTGGGTGATTTTTAGTGTTTCATGTCTTGTGTTTCTTACCGTTGTTTGAAAATGGTGCATGGGCTCATTTACTGTTCCATCTATGAAGTTAGCTTGTTGATGAATAAATGAATGAATAAATGAATGAATGAATGAATGAATGAACGAATGACCTCTATTGTCTTCATACAGTGTACCACGAGATTGGAGATCATAGGCCAGGGGTGGGCAATCCTGGTCCGCGAGGGCCACAATCCTGCATGTTTTAGATGTNCTTCCAACACACCTGATTCAAATGATCAGGATCGTTATCAGGCTTCTGCAGAGCTTGATGATGAGCTGATCATTTGAATCAGGTGTGTTGGGAGAGGGAAACATCTAAAACATACAGGAGTTTGACACCCCTGCTCTATTGTCTTCATACAGTGTACGACGAGATTGGAGATCTTACGCCAGGGGTGGGCAATCCTAGTCCGCGAGGGCCACAATCCTGCATGTTTTAGATGTTTCCTTCTTCCAACACGCCTGATTCAAATGATCAGCTCATCATCAAGCTCTGCAGAAGCCTGATAACGATCGTGATCATGTGAATCAGGTGTGTTGGAAGAGGGACACATCTAAAACATGCTGGATTGTGGCCCTCGAGGACCAGGACTGGACACCCCTGTCTTAGGCCATATTAAAAATATTGTCAAAGTGTCGTACATTTGTGGCAAAGCAATGAAGGTATTTGATGTAAACAGGATGGAAATATTTTAAAAATACAGAAAGAAGTGCATCTACAGCTTCAAGAGAATTCTGAAACGTGCTCCTTCCCTTCAACGTGCTTCTCCTCCCTCAGGTCCAGAGACTATGAAGGCTTCATGTCCTCGCTCCTCCTCCCTTTGGAGGCCCGGCGCTCCTCTCTGGCTCTAAGAGCCTTTAATGTGGAGCTGGCACAGGCAGGTATTTCTACAGTGGTGTTGGATGTGGAGTGATGACTGATAATAGTGCTGTTAGCGCTCTGCTACAGGAGTCACTAGTGACTCTCGCTGCTGCTGCTGCTACTACTGCACCATTAGCCCTGAAATGACTGATGCTCCTGTTGCTGTAATAATAGTAATAATAAAAATAATTGTTAAGTGAAAACAAAGGGGGTTGAAAAACTCAAAATAGTGTCTGATATCTGTTCCCATACGTGTTTAATGTAGTTTATCAAACATTTGACGTCCTATGTCTGTTTTTCCATAAGGTGAAGGACTCGGTTTCCCAGAAAACCATTGGGTTGATGCGAATGGAGTTCTGGAAGACAGCCATAGAAGAAATCTACAGAGATAAACCTCCAAACCAGCCAGTCAGTGTGGAGCTGTGGAGGGTAAATATCCAACAGAATTATTAAATGTTTCATCTTTCTGTTGTCACGTTAGCAACGACTTAGCTGTACTTTTAAAATGTTTTATCTTCATGTCAGCAGCTGTTAGAGGAACTAGTTTGTCAGATGCTGGATGTCTCATTTCAGCTTAAAAATTGCTCGGCCGTCTGTTTCTGTGTTCTGGTCCCTCAGCTTTGTCGTGAGCTGATTCACTGTAAGTGGAATAACTCGGCTCATTAACAGTCTGGGTGATGTTTTGCAGGCAGTGAAGACGCATAACCTGACCAAAAGATGGCTGCACAGGATCATCACAGAGAGAGTAAGACGGGTTGTCTCTAATTAGGATGATCAGTTCCCCCATTAAATTAAAATTTGTACAACTTGTTCTTTTCCTGATATATATGTGTTATGTCAGTGATGCCATTGCTGGACAACTAAAAAAAATAATTGCCAATAAAAGTAGACTTAGACTAGATTTATTTCACAGATTGTGGACATTTGTTTGAAGTAGACAGTGCTTTAATTTAAAGGGTTACACGGCAAAACCTTTGCGAACTGCTGCTTTCTATAGATATTATATAAACTAGCCTCATTGATTTATTTAGTAAATGTTTACTTTCAAAGTGAACAATCATCAAAACTGTCTGTCTCACCAGGAAAAAGATCTGGATGACCGAGCCTACAGGAACCTTCAGGAACTGGAGGCGTATTCAGAGAACACACAGTCGTCCTTAGTGTACCTGCTGCTGGAGTGTTTAGGTAAGGACAGGCAAGGCTGCTCATAGCTGAAGCATCACCAGAAATGATCCTAAACTGGAGATGTCCCAAACTGATCTTAAAGATTGATATCAAGGCTGATCCAGGCACACTTTAATGAATTGAGAACAGGTGAAAATCCTTTCTTTTCTGTTTGTTGTAACAACAACCTGCTGCATTCCTTAATGACATCTGGGCTCCACACAGCAGCGCTTCATCAGACATGTTAGCTAAAGGTAGAAACGTGAAAAATGATTTGATCACACCAGTGACTGACTGTTATTGCTGCTCTCTCTTTCTTGTTAGCAAAGATAAAGGTACAGGGTTCAGCTTCTCACTTTAGCTGGGACAGTCGTGACTCGATAATCTGACCCTTAACATTCCAAAAACCTTGCTATCCGACAGGTTTGTAGGAAAAACGAACAGAAACCATTAAAAATAACATACCGACAGCCTTGGATTCCGACTCCGACATGACATTTAATGTCACAAATCAGGATAACGGCGTATTATCTGACTGAACAATCGCACAGATTGGCTACGTTCACACTGCAGGACTTAATGCTCAATTCAGGTTTTTTTGTGAAATCCGATTTTTTGCGAGTTCCTTCACATTTCCAGTTAAATGCGACTTGTATGTGATCTGCTGTGTGAACTTCATACGACCCAAAAGTGTCCCGCATGCTCAAAAGAGGACACGACGACGTCACACGCAGCGAGCGTGCTCAGTGGTTACGGAAGTAAACACGGATGGTAACGGTGGAGCGTATCTGCCACTCCCCCGCTGCCCCCGATGGTGGAAACAGAACTGTGACCGCTGACGAAACTGGCATCAGCAGCCTGTACTGCCTGTATGTTCCGGCCACTTCCACCCCATCAGAGTGCTCCAACGGGGTGGAAGTGACCCCTCTGACTGCGCAGAATATTCTGATATTCATCATTAATTGGGCCTAAATATCCAGAGACCAGAAAGTGCTGTTTGGACCAGCCCTAGTTTGTCGTGTATCAATGACGTGTAGGTCGGATAAGTGCGACCTGGCCCTTCAGGCAGAAGTCACATGGCAAAAGATCAGATACCAATTGGATTTAGGACCACTTACATTAACTCCATGAGTTCATGACAGGCCTAAAAATAATTGGACTGCTGTTGAGTTTCTGTGTCGCTGCAGTCCGTCAGCCAAAGGTTGTTTATGAGGTCATGAAATCATCATCATCACGTAGCTCTTGTGCTACGACCTCAGATTCCCAACAACTCCAACAGAGAGAGAGAGAGACGTCTTAGTTGCATCAGGAGTTACATTTGTCCACTTTTTGAACCAGACCGTTCGATATGTCGATCGAGCAGCTTGTGAAAAATAAGATGTGAGTGTCGGATACATATTTCATCAACAGTGACATGAAGTATCAGGGGAAGCGTCAGGTCAGATTCCTGACTATCTCGTAGATAGTTGCTGTCACGCCACTGGCTGGTGTTTACAGACTGCACAGAGGACCAGTGTGTGACGTCATGGTCACACGGCGGTGCTAATGTGATGTTGGCGATGCATATATGTCCGTGTAAGGGGGTAGAGACCGCGGCAGAAAGCTCCACTGTACTGAAACGCTCGGTAAAATGCTGGTAACGCTGCTAAAAGCAAAAACAAGATCCTGCCTCGAGCGGAGAGAATTGTGGAGAAATTTCAACACAGGCTCTAACAGGAGAGAAGTTGATTTAAAGCAAGTGATGCCAAACTGTGTGTCCGTTTTTTTTTTTATTTCTCTGCAGGTGTGAAAAACGTCCACGCCGACCACGCAGCGAGTCACATCGGCAAAGCTCAGGGAATCGTAACGTGTCTGAGAGCTACTCCCTACAACTGCAGCCGGCGGAAAGTCTACCTGCCCATGGACATCTGCATGCTGGTGAGTTGAGGATTCACGCTGACGTCAGCGCCGTCGGGTCTGAAACTATTCAGCACCGAGGGAGACATTTACCCAAACGTCCCTGATGTCTGATGCTCAGCTGATTATACACATCGATGAAACCGAGGAAGGTGATGCGTCTCAGTGTAGGAATAGTCGACCCGAGCTGAAAGCATCCAGTTAGTGCATCTTTATTGTTTGTTATAAGGCTAAGGGGCAGATTGATGATTGTTATTTTGGTTCTGATATATTTTTATTGTACACATTTGATAGGGGGATAGCGGCTCCCGTGGTTGGGCGGGGATTTAAGCTCACCTGTTCACTGTCGGAGGAAGAGAGAGGGGGTGGGCTGGGTCGCTGTATTTTTTGTTGACCGCTGTTTTTGCTTGATTACTTTAATTTGGAGTTTCGTATGCGTTTATATGAGTTAATTATCTTGTTTTCCTTTAATAAAAGGCTAAGTTTATTTTCTATAATCTCAGTGAGTTAGTATTGAATTGCGCGTCAGACAAACGGACCCAATCTCTCAGCGACACGAGGTCTGGGATGTCGCTACAGGTAGAATAGAACTTTATTGATCCCTTTGGTTCTATTCTGTTCTATTCTATCTGTAGCGACATCCGAGACCTCGAGAGATTGGGTCCGTTTGTCTGTGATAAAGCCAGAAAATCTGTGATAAAGATGTGATAAAGCCAGACACAGAACAGGCTTTCAATACTTAGTAACATAAAATCAACCACTTATTTTTATAAAACAAAGCGATGAGAACTTTTTTTTTTCCCAATGAGTTCAGCCTGCTGTGATAATAAACTGACAAATATTATTGCACATTAATGAATTTTAAGAATTTCTAACCAGGCAGTCGAATATCTTAACAGACAAATTATTATTCAAAGAAAAGTATTTCTTGTATCTTCAGATGTGTCAGTACAGGATATCAGCTGGTTTAAAGTCTGATTTCTGTTCTCAGAGATGACATAAGGCAGCCCCACACACACACACACACACACATGCCTTCAAACGTTTGGCTGACTCACGGCTGACATGATGTCACATGACATTCCTGTCGAAGCAGTAATGAAACTGTCGTCCAGCACGAAGAGACAACAAACCAGTGAGGGATCGTTACACAACGGCCACATGGCCAGACGCAGAGAGCTTCAGATCTAAACCCCCTCTGACTGAGATAAACACACACTGCAGATAAGCAAATGACACTGCAAACAAATTTTCAACCTTTTCTTCTTGGCCATCTGTCGCGTGTACAGAGAACAGCAAACTGCTGCTGCTGCTAGACTAGAGGAGAGGTTGTGTGTATACGTGGAGATGAGTTTGGGCTGCTGCATGAAGCGTGCATGCTCTGCCCTTAATATCTTCAGCTGAAAAGATGATGCTTGTGACCCGAGGCCCTACTGAGCACGCTCACCTCGCATCACCTCTGCTCTGCGGCCTGAAGGGGGCTCTGGTGGAGTGCTGGAATACCACACAGATGAACCCTTTAGCTTTTCATCCAGTGAGCTTATCAACACGGACTCTTGAGACCTGATTTAATATATTCTTAATCAACTGACAGGGGTGTCGGACGCAGCAGACAGACAGCATACAAACACATCTGATACTTAGCTAATCATTCCTGTTCACAGTGGCAACAAGCCGAGGAGGACAAAGATCAGGTGACTGAAGAGCTACTCACACCCTCACTGAACCGATTCATAGGCAATCAATCAATCAATTTTAATACTCTGTTCGCTCCACAAGTGTTTCCTGATTTTCCTTTCTGTTCAATGTAGTCACCTCCTCTTGCATTTACTGAACTGAATTTAATTCATAGTTTCTACATCGGTGTATTCATTTAAAATGACCTTTACCATTATTTGATCTTCGTTGCTCACGTCTGGTTTCTTGTCTTGGGAGAAACAGAACTCTTTTGTTACGGAGAATTAATTAAATAAATAAATAATGAACAAAAGTCAAGTCCACATGTTGAAGATTTTTAGAAGCGGGCACGACGCAGCACATTTCATTCACAGGAGGTAGAACCTGTTTGCAGATTAAACGTGCGGTCGCAACTTCAACTGATTTTGCTCGTCTTTCGCTCGCTGACACAAAGTCCTGCTTTTTATGTCGGTTCTGTTCCAGGCTGACAGCGTATGACACACGTCAACACCTGCAGCCGTGTTTTGATGTAAAATCGCACGCCCTTTGCATCACGACGCGCGTCATCCAGTCACAGGGTAGCTGCAGGTGTCCCAGAGTATTGAATTTAATTTTCTCAAAATGACAAGCTGCTGCTGGCAGGAGTTATATGTTGTACAACTAAAAAACAGAATAGACACGATCAAGTTATGAGAGAAATGTTAGTGTGACTGACTGCATCTTGGACACACTTGTCTGTGTCCAGGTGAGTTGATTTGAACCAGCATTCATTGATATAGTGATATACATGTTAATACATTTAATCAATAATAAATAACTGTAAGCCTTTATTAACCTGACTGATTTGATCATGAATCAGGCATTAAACTGCATTCTGTTTGGCATTAAAAAGGTCTTTAATAGTCTTTAAATGTGTGTGTTGAACAATAAAAAAAACAAAACGAAACCCTGACAAGCTGCATTTTAGGGCTGTGGGAAATTCTGATGTTTAGGATAAGAAAGAAAATTAATTGGCGGATGAGTAAGTCATGAGAATAAACATTCAAAACACTTTTTTAATTTTTTTTTTTTGCCGTTGACCTACAATCTGGTTTCAGACTCAAGGAGCATCTGAAAGTTTAATACCCTCCTCATTCATTTATTTATGAATGATTATTTTAACACTAATCATTTGGGCAGTCAGGGGAATTTGGAAGGTTTTGATTTAATAAGACGTCCCCTTAATCCTGATCATTTACGGTATTGATTTCTCTTCATGGGATGAACTCCAAAGAGCAGAAATCCGATGACTTGATGTTGAACTTACAGACAAAACAAAACTTTATTTATCGCAATTTCTGTGGAAAAGACGCTCATCATACTTGTGTTTTTCCTCACAAGATAAAGTGTGCGTGGACAGAATTTGCAGCAGAATCTATGTAGCATACAGGTTACAACACGAAACAAAATTTCAAGTAGAAGCTATGAAACAAGCTGTACAGTAAAGTCTATAAATGTGCACCGATGTTCCAAATGACGATCAGATATGAGACAGACAGCAGGAGTCGACACTGGAACGAGACATTTTGTTCTAGTTTGCACTGATCCTCCGACTTACTAGCTGAATTAAATGAAGGATAATTATTCTGTTAAAGATGCCCAGAATTAAAAGAACAAAACAGTCTTTCTCTGCCGCCTGGTGCAGCGGGGGTTGGTCCCCCCAATGGCATAACGTCACACTTCACCAGAAGCCGACTTCGGTGCAGTTTAACCTTCTTTATTTTAAAACCGATTAAAGAAAAGGCTTGGCGATGGGTGTGAAGTGGAGCCAGAACGGATGCAGCTGAACTGCACAGATAGGCTTTGCTGTTTAATTGCTGTGACCACATGGGTTCTTGTTGTGTTGTTGTGTTTCTCCAGCATGGAGCTTCTCAGGAGGACTTCATCCGTGGCAGGCGGGAGCAGAACATCCGGGACGTGGTGTACGACGTCGCCAGCCAGGCTCATGTGCACCTGCAACACGTATGTACCGGGATCAGCAGCACGGCCGCGACATCCACACCTGAAAGCTCAACATGCGATTGCAAAGTCAACAGGCTTGAATAAATACTACCCCAGTGTCTGGATGCTGGCCGTAGGGATTTGCATAAAGATGTTTATTCGCTCGGCAGATGCTTTTGTCAAAAGTAAGGCGCAGCAGATCAAAGAGAAGCCCTGAAGAGAAACGCTCCACGCTCCATCTGACACAAGCGCCACGAGGCTGCAGGTGCACGAAACACAAAGTGCATCACAAATTACCTTTTTTTTTTTTTCCTTCGAGAGGGAAGAAAGTAGAGAGAGCACATTTAGTAAGAACCCTCAGAAGGTCTTTTAAGTGGTTTTTAAAGACCGAGTGGGATTCTGCTGATCGAATTGAGCCAGGTTGCTCGTTTTACCACTGAAGGAGCGCAGAGGAGGAGAGCTGGAGCGCTCGTCGTCGCTCATTTTACAGCATTCAGGCACGAGAGCGTTAAGTTTGGGGATTACGTTTTCTGTAGCCTGGTCTAGTTCTCGATACTGTGTGTTCCCTCCGTCAGGGAACTCAGTGTTCCTCCAAACCCACTAGTTCTTAATGAAGGTGTAAATATTTAAAAGACATTCATTAATATATAAATATTGCTTCATTTAAAAAAAAAAAAAAAAAAAGAAGCTGAGTAACTGTTCAAAGTAGGGTAGCTTTTAAAAAGTGATCCAGGATAAAATAGTGCATTTGTTGGGGGATTAATCCACATTTTGAAGCTTTAATTAGTGTTTCTGGCAGCAGACAATGCATATGTGTGGATAACAGTATTGCTCACGACTATGTTATTAATAATAGGGAGATAAAGTTTTTAAACTGGTCACCGTCAATCAAAGAAGCGGCAATTGCTGATACATTAACAATATTTCAACAAAGTCAGACGATGGCGGTCAGATCAACAGTCGCTGCCACGTTGTCAGTGATTATTTTTTCTCCATTTTCAGGGTTTCTAATGGTTTAAAATCTTGTTTAGTTAATAATAATAATACATTTTATTTAGAGGCGCCTTTCTCGACACTCAAGGACACCGTACATACATAAATCGATTAAAAGAAACTACATTAAAAGTAAGCAGAATCACTAAATGAAACAGACAGAACAACATGCGTCAGGGGGAGTAGGCAGTCCAAGTGGGAAGGGAACTAGGGGAAGGAAACCAAGGTTCCGAAGTGGGAAAGGGGGGAAATCCAAAAAACAGGAACAAAACAGCCGGAAGCCCCGCCTCCCAAGAAGGAAGGGGAAAAAGGAAAAGGCCGGGCGGCCGGGAAAAATCCCAAGCAACCAAGGCGGGGGTAATCCTGGGGAATAAACCGAACAAACGGAACTACCTGAAGCCCCTGAAAAACATCCAACCCTCATCCAAGAGACTTCATCAGTTCTGACTGACTAGTTGAGAGTTCCACATACTTAGATCCTAAAGGATCCATTAACACCTGAGTTTTGGTTTTAGTTGGGGTTTTGTTGCTCCTCCCGCTCGTTATGTGGGTCATTAGTGCTCCAGGGAGGACAGATGGTTTGAGAGAGGGGTGAAAGAAGCCATCCAACTGGAAAGACCATCCCTCAACAGAGATGGAGGTCTGAGGCATCACCTCTCACCTGTTTACAACTCAGTCCTAAGATCTCTCCCCAGGAAGATGAAACCACATCCACACCTAGACACAAAGACCCTAACGAACCCCACTGTGGCAGGGGGAGCACTAACGACCCACATAACGAGGGGGAGGAGCAACAAACCTAGTCAGTCAGACCTGATGAAGCCTCTTGGATGAGAGGTGGAACGTCTTCAAGGAACTCAAGCAGTTGCTACGATTAATCTACTTAAATGGAAGACTTTGAATTAGATGCAGAACTGAACCGCGAGCCAGTGGAGCTGTTAGAGGACAGGAGTGATGTGGTGGATCGAAGGGGTTCGGGTTATGATGCGGGCAGCTGAATTCTGGACCAGTTGAAGTTTATGGAGGGAGACCAAAGAGGAGAGAGTTACAGTCATCCAGACGGGAAGTGACGAGGCTGGATGAGGATGAGGATGGGAGGGCGGAGGCGACTGATGTAGGTGGAAGTAGACAGACCTGGTAATGTTTGGACAGATAAAGTGCTGTCAAGGATGACACCCAGACTCTTAACCTGCACAAATAGTTCAACAATTGTTATTGTCACCAACACCTCTGCACACATTTTCCTAAACTGATGCATTCAAGTTAGCTCGCTGAAATGATCTTTGTGTTTACCCAACTCTTCAATTACACGATTTTCTTCTTTTTGTGAGATTTGTTGACAAGGAAATATTGAACACAACCAGGCTCCTAACACTCTCAGGGTGTTCATAAATGAAGAAATGTGTACGCGCAGCATCATGACAGTCACCTTAAACAAACTCACGACTCGCCTCGCACATCTGCCGTCTGAAATGATGACTCCATTAGTCGAGAAGGTGAAGCAACGTTCACGTCCCCTGCAGTTGTGTTTTGTAACGCTCTTGAAAACCTCTTAGGACGCTCAAACAGCGGGGCGGTTTTTGAAATGTAAATGAACGTGAGTGATCGCTAATGCTTAGACGTTCTGTGTGAATAGCTCATATTCAGTGTGGTGGCTAATTAAGCATGTCCTTGGAGCATCTTTAATTTTAACTTACTAATGCAGTGCTAATGAGATTAGAATGTGGAGATGTATTAGCCTCCCCTGACATGATTCATTGATTTTTTTTGTGTGTACTTTTGGATGCTTTTTTCATTAAGCTGCTGCCCACATCAGCATTTTATTTTGTTTTATGCCAGTTAAGGATGTCTGTAGAAGTTACAGCCCACGTGATCATACTGGGCGTAAACAATAAGATTATAAATGAGGTCCTTATATTAATGTGTTAAGTGTTTACATCCCCCTCCTGGCTGTGAGCCAGCTCCAAAGTGCTAGACTAATTAGCTCATTAAGCAGAGGTGATGTGAGCCGTGGTGTTTATTTATATTCATAACAATGTAAACAACTGAAATATTTAATTGCTCCAAGAGGCTAAAATTAGACACGTGATTAAAATGGTTGAAGTAAAAGAAATATATTGTTTTCTCTGCAACATGTTGGTAAAAAAACACATCTTTGCTAATAAATGAATCCGCTAATTGGCTTAATTGGGAGGAAATGGTGAAGTAGGAACTTAATTCTTGCACCCATATGGAGCAGATGATGTGAAAACATGACAGGACCTTTTATATAATAATAATAATTGATCAGATGTATATAGAGCTTTTCTAAACACTCAAAGACGCTTTACACTGTCAATTATTCATTCACACACATTAATTCCGGTGGTGGTAGCTACGATTGTAGCCACAGCCGCCCTCGGGCAGACTGACAGAGGCGTGGCTGCCATTCTGCCCCTCTGACCACCACCTCAAACAATCCATTCATACGCATTCACACCAGGCAAGGTGGGTGAAGTGTCTTGCCCAAGGACACAACGACCACGACACAGGGCGGAAGCTCCACAGCTGCCCTGTCCTTGACCTGTCGCTGCAGGAAAAGCACATGCAGTCGTCCTCACATGTATTCATAGCCTCCCACTAAAGAAGGAAAAAAACACTGAAATAAGTTGAAATTGACAAAAGTGATAATAAATAAAAATGTAATGAAAATCATGATATTGCTTTTGAATTGTGCTTCAACAGAAATAAAAAACAAACAAAAAAAACAAGCAAACAAGCCTGATGGGACCCATAAACTAATATTTTGTTGAGCCAATCACTGCTATCAAGTGTTTTCTGTAACTCTTAGTCAGACTTGTGCTCCTGTTGACAGGTGATTTGACTTCACTGCTCATCAGCAAAGTGCTCTAATTTGTCCGGAACAAATTTATTTATTTATTTTTTAAATTATTCTTTTCAACCACAGTTCAAAAGCAATGTCTTATTTCACTAAATTATAATTTAGAAAATTTTTATTTATTCAGACTTTTTTCAGTTTCTAATTATTTGAGTGACCTTTGTGAGTTTTGCCTTTTCTTTAATGAGAGGGGATGAATACATTTGACTGTATTTAGCTGACTTCGTTCTAATGAGGCGACTTACACGTTGGTTATTTGATTATGTGCCGTAGGCGGCGGTATTGATAATGTATAAAGACTCCTCAGGGTTAAGACTCACCACACTTTTTTAATGCTAATGTAGCCACACATTTAACACAGGTTGTGCTTTTAACTGATGTGTATTTGTGTTTTGTCAGGCGGCGTCTCGATCATGTTTCTGTGCAACAAAGCAGGAGCTGATGTTTATGAGCTGCCACTACTTTATTATCTTCTAATGTGTTCCATTGTTTAATGACATAAACAGAAAGATAATGGCATTATGTGTCCATGAGAGAGCAGGAGAGGATCGAACAGAAGCCCCTCTGCATGTGAACCAGACTGTGATCAGTAGCTTTGGCTGTGTGATGCTGGATGGAGTAGATGATACTTAACTGTCATCCTGCTGTTTCTGTGTGAATGTAAGTGGGCGTGTGATGGTTTTTATTTCCCCCTGCTTCTTTAATGTGCGCCTATTCTTCTCTCCTTCAGGCCCGATCATTTAGCGACAATGTTCCAGCAGCTGCCGCTCCGGCTTTCCTTCAAACAGTAAGTAATCCAACACCAAATATTATGATCCGAATTTAATCCGAGGACGAGAACGGGGGCTTTTCTCTCTTTGGCTTGACATAAAACCGTTGGTATTATTCCTGATATTTATGGAAGCTAAAAGTCAAATATCTTACAGTTACTCAAACCTTTAATAAGGTTCTCATGAAAAGCTTTATGCCAATTTAGGATCTGAGAACGTCAGTTTGTTCTTATGGAGGTCTGTTTGTACCCAGACGAAGTCCAGACTTCTGCTGCACCCAAACACATGAACATCATCACTTCTTATCATGAGTTAAACTGACTTCTCAAGCACCCCTCAGATTTAAAAATTCAGACTTTAAGACTTTATCTGTGAGACTTATGGTTGTGGCTGAAAAACTATAATAACGTAATAAAGCGAGCTGCAAGGTGGAGCGGTGGTTAGCACCCTCACCTCGCAGCTAGAAGGTTGCTGGTTCGCGTCCCGGTGAGGACACCCTGTGTGGAATTTGCATGTTCTCCCCGTGCAGCATGGGTTCTCTCCAGGTTCTCCGGCTTCCTCCCACAAGGTCCAAAAACATGTTGAGGTTAATTGGTGATTCTAAATTGTCCGTAGGCGTGAGTGTGCTTGGTTGTCTGTCTCTAAGTGTAGCCCTGTGATAGACTGGCGACTAAGTGGTGTGTAGATAATGGATGGATGGAAGTAATAAAGCTCCTAAGCATGAACCTCACCGAGTTTCACGTTCGTTCTTCCCTGAAAGGTGAACAAAAACTCTGGGTGAGATCACATTTGCAGGTTTGAAAATGCTCTCCTATTAACTAGAAAATAATGCTCGTCGGGTTTGTTTTGAAGCAGCAGGAGTTCAGTGCTGCTGACAATAAAAATGCACATTATTCTGTGCAGCGATCAAGTCAGCTGAAGGCAGTCATTAGAAACAGTGGTGGCATTCTGCTCAGAGGAGGAAACACTTCAAATGAGAGCACGTACATCCTGTGGATCAGTTCATCCATCCGTCACACAAGAGATCCCAGAAAACACAACTTTATTTTGACAAATAATTTAAACTGCATTTATTCTGCAATATTTTGAGAACTGGTTTTTAACTCTCTGATAAATTTGCAAAACTCACAGACTTGATCATGTGTGTGCAGCAGCTTTAGATCCTCCACTGTGGGAACTAAATCTACACAAACAACATGAAATACAGAATGATTGCATCGTAAATGATAATCACATTTATTTTTGATCTATATTGAGATCACAGCTTTTTATCACAAATGTGAAAAATGCCGTCTGGTTGTCCTGCTGACTGCAGCTGGGACTGCTGACCAGACTGCTGACCGCCTGTGAGCAGTTTGGGACGGGAGGAGCTCACGGCAGCACCCACTGCTGGTTGAAGACAGTAACTGCAGAACGATAGGAGTCTCCGAAACACCAGAAAGAGTCACTAGATTTGTCGCTAGTCGCTTTTGACAAAAAAAAAAAAGTCACCAGGAGGATTTGGAAAGTCACCAAGTTGGCAACGCCAGCAGGTGTCGCACATCGGCGGCTGTGATGCATATTTTGCGCGACAAAAAAATTAAACACGTTTTATTTGAATGTGACAAATTCACAAAAGTCTTCAAATTTAGAATTACATTTAAAAAACTAAAATAAAATACATTTAAATTAAAATTATTTATTTTCCAAAGCAACAAGGAGCCGGAGCTCCGGAGCCGCGGGCTGCCGACCCCTGATGTATAGGAAAGTTAAACGAGAGCATCGGACCTTGAGTTTGAGTTCTTGTGCCACTTTGCAGAGATTGATTGTTACAGTGAAGCGTTTTCAATCTGTTAGCTGCAATGAAAGAATCAATAAAGAAACATGAAGTGGATGGAGTCACACAGACGGAAGGAGTAGATGCACCACAGGCAAACAAGAAAGCCTGATAAAGCTTCTGTTTGTCTGGAGACTGGAGTTGCCAAGTATGGGAAACAACACCTTGAGGTTCCTCTGCTGTTCCGGTTTGTATTGAGAAAAGGGTTTTTGATACTTGTACTCTGTATTTGCCAAGTCCAAACGCCTCAAACTAATGCCTGCTGGGCACCTCGAATGTGAGCCACACTGAGATGATAAGAAACAAACAACATGCTTCATTATCCGTCCAAAACATGAAGCTGTCGGCTGCGTAAAGCCGATAACTAAATCAAGAAGTGTTTCCAGGCTTATTAGCCCGTTAGCCTGTGGAGTAACAGCAGTAGGTCTGCTGTGACCTCAGAAACACCCGGCAGGAAAAGACGGCGCTCGTTTTGATGAAGGTGCAAATGCAGCATGATCTGTCAGGCAGAACCGATCAGTTTCTGAATTGTTAAAGCACAGTAACAGTAATACCAGCGTGTAGCTCTCATAAATTGTACTTTGCAGCATGGAAGTGACTAATCTTAGAGCGTGATTTTAGCAGCAAATCCTGCTCAGCAACTTAAAACGCAGGACTGCTCTCGTCTTTTATAAAACACACATAGAAACCTGCTTCCAACCGAGTCCATAATCACGGTGCTGTACTGACCCGCCGTAACTACAGAGCAGAGCTGAGAAGCACAGCAAAAAGCACTCTGCCCTCCTGAATGTAGAATTATGATTTCACGCTGCAGTGGGCCTCCACTGTGCAGCCGGGGTTATTTGCGCATATGCGAGCGTGTCGGTGTGTGCGCGCGAAGTTCTTCCAGCTCAGTGTGCTTCTCCACGTGAGAACGCCGAAACAGCCGCTTGAGGTTTCTTAACCTGCTGAAAATTTAATTCGCAACGGATCGCGCTTTTGGATGTGAAACAGCGGGAACGACAAAGCGGCGGCTGCTGAAGCCTGAGGGGAATGAACCACAGCGACTGACCAATGTCGCTCGTTCGTTTGAACACATGACCATTTATTCGAAGCTGACTGAGCAGATACGAGCGTTGGATCCATGTCAGAGCTGTAAATGTTCTTTTTTTTGATGTTATACATGACAGATTTCTTTAACTGTCTGAAGCTAAATGCTACACTGGTATCTGCTGTAGGTCGTTTCACTCAGCAGCACACATTTATGGATCCACCAAAGTGTTACTCTTTGATTAGCCTCCAATTTGTTCAGTGAGAAGCAGTGGTCAGAGAAAAGGTCAACTTATTAGAGGTTTCTTGGCAGGATTAGAATGTTGGTGTCATTTCTCTGTGTGGCTGCTTAGCTACTTAACTACATCCATGTGAAACAGCCACAGGAAAAGATGAATATGTAGATGAGATGGATGCAGATGTACAAGTTTGACTATCAAACATGTGAGTTGATCATAGTGAGACATTTTCAGAAAATGATAAACTCAGTTTTACTCTGAAGGTTTCCGCTCAGTGTTAAACCAACCCTCATGACTTGAGCTGGTTGGAGATTAATTAAGATAGTGAAGCATTTAGAGGCAAAAGAGCCAAATACAGTCGTGACTCGACAATCCGACACTAAATGTAAAACCTTCTTTTACGTTGGATAGCAAGGCTGTCGGATTTTCAAGACGAAGGTCGAGATACAAGGAGGGCTTGATGCTTGAAGGCTCATTTGTTGTTAATATTCATTGTTCATAGTTGTTATAATAACTAGTGTATTGTTAGAACACTATGCATCACTGGATTTCACGCCTAATTGACCGGTGCGCTTGTGCACGTTCCGGCCACTTCTACCCTACGGGAGCGCTCCGACCCAAAGTGGCCGGAACGCACAGGCAGTTTAGGATAGTGGTCACAGTTCCGTTTCCACCATCGGTGGCGGCGGAGGAGTGGCGAATACGCTCCACCATTACCATCCATGTTTACTTCCATAAGCACTGAGCACGCTTGCTGCGTGTGACATTGTCGTGTCCTCTTCTGAGCATGTGGGACACTTTTGGGTCGTATGAAGTTCACACAGCAGATCACATACAAGTCACATTTAATTGGAAATGTGAACGAACTCGCAAAAATCGGATTCACAAAAAAATCCAAATTGAGCATTAAGTCCTGCAGTGTGAACGTAGCCAATCTGTGGGATTGTTCAGTCAGATAATACGCCGTTATCCTGATTTGGGACATAAAATGTCATGTCAGAGTCGGAATCCAAGGCTGTCATTATGTTTCTCTTGGTTCCATTTGTTTCTCCTAAAAACCTGTCGGATGGTAAGATTTTCGGACTATCGAGTCACAACTGTATTCCTCTCAGGAGGTGGTGGAGACCAAAAACTGAGCTAAAAAGATAAATACTGAACTTGAATTTGTTGTTGCTCCAAATAAGTGACCATGTTGCTCCGTGGCCCAAAATTAAACACATTTGTCCTGTAAGTTTTCATTCATTCCCTCAATTTGGAGGTGTAACAGACGTGGTCAGTGTTCATCCACTGCCCCAGCTTCTGTGGGCCGATATGTCACTTACTATAGATCGGTTATTACAAAACAAAATCCCCTCCCTTCCAATGAGAAACTGAAGCATAGACAACATCAGGATAAAGGAGTGTGGTGGAGCAAAGTGGCAAGTCGAGTTATTAATCATTCATCAGTCTAATGATTACTCTCCATAGTCCATCTTCAAGAACGTCCAGGACAATCTAACTAACCCAAACTCTCCTGTGGTGTGCGTTTGTCTTGCAGGTGGTGTTGGAGGACTACCTGCAAAGAGTGCGGAGGGCAGATTTCGACGTTTTCCACAAAAGCCTGCAGAACAGAAACCCTCTCCTCCCCATCCAGCTGTACTTACGCTCCTGGAAGAAGACCTACTGACTCCAGTTCTCCTCCTGAACCGGTCGTCCTCAGCTCGCAGCCTCCGAGAGACTAAACCCCAGAGACTTCACCTCCCTGTGTGGATTTCTGCCAGTAGACTACCCTTGAGCAGGCTTCCAGATTCAGTTTGAACCTCAGTCCTGCCACTAAAGTCTGCTTTTAGAGCAAAAGCACTAGACACAGCAGCCTGTTGTTCTTCAACCACCTGTAGGATCATCACTGGTTGAGCCAGAGGAGTTCACTGGAGATGTGGGTCACTGGACAGTATTTAACGTGTTATTTGAAAATGTACCAAAAAAAACCTGTCATTCTTCACCATATGTCTTCTAAATTATATTCCTTTTTAAATGCACTTTGGGTCTTTTTTTTTGTGGTTTTAGCCATCACTGTTTTAGTCATTCTTAGCAGGTAAGGTGCACATATAGTTGACACAGTGGGAGTTATACGCAGAGACCTATGATGTAGGCTACGCTGGACACCTTTGTTGTTGTTGTTGTTGTTGTGATCAGGCCGTGTCATTCCACAGAGTAAGCGTGTTTTTTTCATTTACAGAGCAGCAGCGGGCTCGACAGCAAGATTGTAGCACCTGCCAAGGTAACGCGATGTTATTTGTCTGCTCACTGAATAGGAGGCTGCCACTTCTGTTCATTCATTCACACGGAGCACAAACTGGGTGAGGGGAAGGTTTATCCTATGATCGCTATGGTGGAACCTCACATCCCACGCATGCTCCCACTGTCGCCGCAGCCTCCTCTTATTCTATACATCTTCTATACATCCAGCTGTAGCTACTCAGATTTGTAAGGCATCTGACATCACTTGTGCGATTCAAATTCACTCTTTTTTTTTGTTGAATTCACTGAACGTCTCACCACAGTCACCAGCTGTCTGTCAAATGTGTGGGTGCTGCATAAAAATAAGGCATTAATGCACAGACTTGTTCACGTTAAATGGAAAAACAGTGGGAGGGCGTCCATCTGGAACATGCTAACTATTTATATACACCTCCAGGCGAAACAAACCTACCTGAATGATCACACAAACTGTCCGTAGTCAACATCTATTGCAGGTTACGGACCAACTTCTTGCTTAATATCGTAGCTGTTTGACTTTTTCATGTTGTCGTCTTGAGAATATTTACTGAACCGTACAGCAGATAGAATCCCTCCCCTGTATGTGCACTGGACAGGAAAATGAGGGACATTGCTCTGTCTTTATTACGGCACAAATATGAGGCCAAAGTGTGTGACAGGGGAGACATTTAATTATAGACGGACATGTAGGATGTGTTGTATAGACATCAGCTTTATCTTCACTGCAGCAGGAAACCATGCAGCTGGTACATACTGATGAATGGCTGTATGTGGCGGATGAAATTGCCCATTTTGTCACATGTGAATGGTTCATTCATCCTTTTCATACGTGTATGTCTCCCATCTGTGTGTTTTCTTCAGTATACCTTCTGTACAAATATGAGATATGCAGTCGTGACTCGATAATCCGACCCTTAACAATCCTAAACTTTGCTATCCAACAGGTTTTCAGGAAAAACGAACAGAAACCATTAAAAATAACATACCGACAGCCTTGGATTCAGACTCCGACGTGACATTTTATGTCACCAATCAGGATAACGGCGTATTATCTGACTGAACGATCCCACAGATTGGCTACGTTCACACTGCAGGACTTAATGCTCAATTCGGATTTTTTTGTGAAATCCAATTTTTTTGCGAGTTCGTTCACATTTCCAATTAAATGCGACTTGTATGTGATCTGCTGTGTGAACTTCATACGACCCAAAAGTGTCCCACATGCACAGCGAGCGTGCTCAGTATTTATGGAAGTAAACACGGATGGTAACGGTGGAGTGTATCAGCCACTCCCCCGTCGCCACCAATGGTGGAAACAGAACTGTGACCGCTAACTAAACCAGCATCAGCAGCCAAGTACTGCCTGTGCGTTCCGGCCACTTCCAACCCTTCTTAGCGCTCCCCCGGGGTAGAAGTGGCCAGAATGTGCACAAGCGCACCGATCAATTAGGCGTGAAATCCAGTGATGTGTAGTGTTCTAGCAATACACTAGTTATTATAACAACTATGAACAATAAATATTAACAACAAATGAGCCTTCCAGCATCAAGCCCTCCTTGTATCTCGACCTCCGTCTTGACAATCCGACAGCCTTGCTATCCGACATAAAAGAAGGTTTTACATTTAGCGTCAGACTATCGGGTCACGACTGTATATTATTCACTCCCCTGGTGCTGTGTGTGTTCGTTCAGTGCACCTGCAGAACCATCACACTAAACTGCAGTCCACACATTTGTACTCTTTGATGTGAACACGTTTTCATTAGGCAGGGTGAGCGTTCTGGTCAAGGTTCCTGAGCGGCTGACAGCTGAACACTCACTAGTTTGCACTAGTTTAGCTGACTTCACTCAACGCGAGACGCCTCCTCGCTGTACAGCCATCATGGTCGCTATGGTAACGTGGAGGAGTTCGGTTATCCATAACGTCCTGCAATGTTCACAGTGAACTCTGCTGTTAATCAAATCTTCAGTCTTAAGAGATTATTTAAAAAAAAAAAAAAAAAAATTCACTGTAAATGACTCCTCTGTTCATCAAACACAGGATTTGCTGCGGTGGGAAATACGGCGGAGAGCTCTCATCTGATTTTGTTCTCCAATTATGGAGGCTCATGGAGCCACTCAGAGGAGAGAGTGACGATCAATAGAAAGATCACAATCTCAAGAGATAATGAGATGTTCACACGAGCGGCAGGCAGCATCAAATAAGAGACACTTTATCTTTGAATGGGCTCGATATGAACCCCCCCGTGGAGAGCGGTTTGACGTTTCCTCCTGCACAAAACACATCCGTACATTTCGACTGGTCCCGCTGTCGGTGCGTTACGGCCACTTTCCCAGAATGTGTCTCGCTTTAGTAGAAACGTGTCTTCTGCTGCTGCTGTTATGAAACCAGACAGTAGTCAAAACAGAAAGAATAGAGCCACTCCACGTCAGTTTTGTTTCACGCTGTGGCTGAAAAACTGGACATCAGGACCAATCGCGGCTCCGTAGACTGAATGTATTGTATCTGGAGAATTAGAATAGAAGCAGCATCTTTAAATAGAAGAGGGTTCGGGGCTGTTTGTTGTTGGCTTCTTTGCTCCTCTGATTAGAATTGTTGTTTTGAGGTCCTCGTACCGTCCTTTACTTCATCATTTACATGTTTTTGCTTCTTTACTCATCTACTTTACGACATTTCTGTAGGAGATATTGTACTTTTTATGACACTACATGGGTCGTTTTTTTCAAATTAAGATTTCATGTTGAAAAAAAGAACACACACAAGCTAAAAACTGACTTTTTAGAACAGGCCCAGCAGCATTAGTGTTTACTGACTCATTGTTATTGGGGTGTTAATTATATGCTTTAGTTTGTATAACACTGTAAGCTGTAAAAAGAGCAAATGATTTAAATAAATACAACAATCACCAGCTGTTAAGGAGATTTAAATAAATTACAGCTGAGGGACTTGGACAGTAAAGGCATTCAGTGACAACACAAGAATCAGGAACCTTTACTGATGCTTTGATCTCAACAAATTGCAGACATATAAGCAGGAACGAGACCTTTCCAGACTATTTTTAATCCAATTTCTTCTCAAGTTTTGCTGGTGTTTTTCAAATCCCACTCTGTCCTGGTGATGAGGACGGAGAAGCTTAGATTTCAGAACTGTCCCGAGTGTCTCTTCTCAATAGAGGCCAAAGGTTTTTCATTTTGGTCATCCTGTTGTGCACCTGGTCCTGAAGCTGAGGTTAAATTGAATGTTTTTTTGAAAACAATAATAAACAGTATTGTGTTTAAGGGCATCCAAAGAGATAAATTGATTCACTATTTAACCAAATAACAAATATTAATTTGGGCAGCCCCATCATTGTGAATCAGTGCACGAAACCAGTGGTTCTCAAACTGGGGGTCGGGACCCCCATGGGAGGTCCCCAAGATAATTTCAGGGAGTTGCCAGATCATTGTAAAAAAATACAAATGAAGCCTGCATTTATCAAATAAATGTGTATTAGCGCTTCTTCCCACTCCTGCACCTCCACTCCACACTGCACTAAACTGTCCAACTGAAGATCCTGAACAGATTCTAGTGGTGGTGAATTCTGCTCACACATTGATGGATCAGTATTAATCTAAAAGTCTCATAATGTCAGATATCATAGCTGTCACATGGCTTTTACTTGTGCTTTGAATCCACATAAATCCATGACTTTTACTTGTAATGGGGCC